GGGGGGGGGGGGGGGGGGGTTTGACAAAGCATGACAAGGCGCGAGGAGGGGAATTTTGTGACACTTACCAAATAAAATAATTTTATATTTAAGTATTACAATATTATTTTACATTTAAATGATACTAAAAAAAATAAATCCTTTTTTTTAATTTCATAAATGTGACAAGAACGGGAGAGGGATCAAAAAAATCATGAAATTCTAGTGAATTTATGGATGGAATTTATGGAATATATAGAGATATGGTAAAAGATGTATATTTTTGTATCTCTAAGCGATAAAATCATTACTGATGGGTTGACATCTAGCCGACGTCTTTACACTGACCCGTCCGACGAAAAGAGTTACATCTTTTTATGACCCCTGTATAATTTGAATATTCCATAGGAGATGTAACTCTTTAAAATAAAAGGGTACATACACTATTGTATAATCGTGTTAACTTTAAAAAATTACTCAAAGAACATAGGATTATTTTTTTATTAAATTTCTAAAGTATAGCATATCTTAAATACCTTATAAAATTGTACAAAAGTATTAAAATTTGTAAATTTCATTGTCCACTCAAAACTTATTATCATTCATATAATAACTCGCTTTAATACTTGTACTAATATATGGAAAGAAAATTTATAGTACCCTGCATAATAGTTGGCACGTCAAGAAAAAGATCACTCTTGAACCTGACGTGCCAACTGGTACTATGAAATCATCGAAAGATCTTGTAACTTTTGTTAAACGACAAACGGACACTAATATTTTTTTTCGCCATATTTTCGGTACAATTTCAAAATTACTAAAGCCAAACAAAAAAATGCTTTTTTACGTTTACAAAATATACAAGTTCTTACATCCAACAAACATTTTCATTAAAACATTTTTTTTCAAAAAATTAGAATTCCACTGAAGTGACACTTTTATTAATAAAACTACCGGTCGCTTGTGATTCCGTCAGCACAGAACTAAAAAAAAACAGCCTATAATATGCAAACGTACATCGGCTACCTTCCCGTCCGGAGATTACTTTGAACAAACGCAGCCTTGCGGACAGACATACAGACAAAAATATCGGTTATTTCTTATCGCAAATAATATGTACGAAATATAATTTTTTTAACTATATTACATACGGACATTCCAATTTTATTCAATTTATAGATTTATAAATTTAGACAAACCTTTAATTCTCATTGACAAAATATAGCCTGCAATATCTTACTAATATTATATAGAAAGTTTACACGGATGGATGGATGCTTGCTAGGAGATAGATAGATATATCCAGAATGGCCAAACAGATCTCACTGAAATTTGGCATTGATGTAAAACTCTGGAAGAAAACATAGACTACTAAATATTATTAATTCCGCGCCAACGAAGCCACGGGCGACAACTAGTATATTAACATAACTATCACAGCAGTAGAATTCTAGGGAAAAATATATGAAAAGTTTTCAGTGAGTTTTGAGTGAGCGACGGTCCGCGAAATAATACCAGTACCACTTATCCTGATGAAGGGCCCCCGATGAGCTCGAAACTAGTCGGTGCCGCCACCGGACTTATATACGTGAGTGTTTAGCCGTTTTTATATATCAGTTTATTATAATGTCTCACGAAAGTTTAAATAATTTAATTAAAAAGTTTTCATATATATATTCCAACGGTGTGTCTTACATTATAATCTGTGGTTCCGGTACGGAGAGTGCTATAGACTTATGTGGTAACACTTGTCCTCCGTTGATATACAACTCGTCTTTGACTATAACATCTTCACCGAGCACTGTACAGTTCTCCATACGTACCCACCTGCCCACTACGGACCTCCAGCCAACAATACAACCATCAAGCCACGCATGTTGACGTACACATGCACCACGGAGTATCGTGCTACGTTTTATACATGCACCTAGAAGAATAAAAAAATTATTGCATATTACGGCCTGGTCATCCCTAAATTAGAATAGGCTCCGAGCCCTTTAGTGGGAATCTATAGAGTGCCGATGATTATCTAAGTAAACCTGTATTTTCTATGGCTTTTATCATCATCATCATCACTGTATGTACCCCACCGAGGGTCTCTAAGCCTACCCTAAGTTAAGGGTGATTAGGCCACAATGAAATCCCTGTATAAAACATATCGTCATCCTTGTCTTTCATCTTTGACAAAATAGAGATAACAATATGTTTTAAACGGAGATTTTAGTCTTAGAAACACATGGTTAAGAAATCAATGACTCCGCTTTCTCGTATCTTACAAAATATGTGTGTAACAAAGGAAATTAAATTGATTACAAGAAATTAAAAACTATTAATAAAAGAGGGTAATAGATTTTAAAAAAAAACTGTCTTCCATTCATTGACCTTTTGTGTATGTGTGTGTATGTATGTGTGTGTGATCCCATATAAGATGTAACTTTATACCTCGAAAAAGTTAGTGTAGTGCTAAAAGTTTGACACACCGAAAAACCGACAGTGATCTTTAGTGTGAATTTAGTAGGAGGAGTGTACACTAAGGAGTGACCCGTTAGCACTTAAATAGCAAGCAGTTAGAATCCCTACGTGTTAGGGTGCATAAGGTTTTTAATGGACAGAAATTAATACTCAGAATCATTTAGTAATTAACTACTATCTGCAAATACACATGCTAACATGAACTTGATATCATTATTTTTAGGATTGCCAACAAAATATGTTACTTTCAAATATAAATAGTACATAGGTTTCTTCTTAATGGAAGATCAAAGAAAGTATGGATAAATTGTGTGAAAGGGGATATAGATAAGGGGTAAATCAGATATGACGGGTGAAATAGAAGTATGGAGGAGTTATACACACTGTGCCAACCCTCCATTATCATGACAGCTTGATATGATAGATTAATCATCTTAGTAAGCTAAAACATATTTCTATAACATGCAAACACAGTATTAATGTAAAGTTATTAATACAATGAAAAACGTGACATATAGACTATGTTTTATATGTATGTGACCTTCGGACGGAAATATTATCATTATCTCTTAAATAACTATGTTACTTACGTATGTGGTACCAAAGCGATAACATATTTATATATTTATCCTTATATAAACTATTACTTGTTTTAATCTTTATATTATAATGATAAATTTATGCATGGTAGAGAGAAGTGGTCTATGACCGAGCTTAATAAAAATTATCTCTGCCTAACCCTCTAGGTGACTAGTGTGAAGAGTTGTAAAAATGACTGGGTAATTTACACTAAGGAAAAATACTAGACAAATTTGACAAGGTCTAAAAGAAACAGACATAAATATTTTTAGACATTATTAGTTAGAATCCTTTGACTTTCGTTACAAAGTCTTGTATCAGAATGATTAGTGAGGGGACATAAACGTCGACATTTTAGTAAGGCTAGGGTTGCGCCAGTACACCGGCACAGTGTCGGATTTTCTTCCGAACAAAACATAGTCATTACCAACTTATTAAATATGATAAATGCTTAAAAACTCTTACCATCTTCAATAACTACATTTGGTCCAATGGTAACATTTGGTCCGATCCTACATCCTTTGCCGATGGTTGCTGTTGGATCGATTAGTACATTGCCAACCACACCGGCTCCATCATGTAACTTATCAGAGTTCTTCTGTCGTAAACTGTTCAAGTATAAACACATGCCTGGAAATTTAAATTGTTTTATTGTGAAATTTGCACACAATAATGAATTATTTTAATTCTTACTAGCTGTTGCCTGCGTATTTCGCTTCGGAATTAAAAAAAAATAATAATTAGTATCCTTTGTGTACCAGACTATATACTACATCTATGCCAAATTTCAGACTGATCCATGCAGCTTAGATACCTTCTAAGGTTCATCCATACATCCTAACATTGTAATTTTTTTACTTGTGACTTAAACATGCATAGATTTTGTTAAAGATATTGTAAAAAAGCTAGTTTTCTTAAATGTTATAATTTTCGTATTTTTTAGCATGAAACACTTACCTGTTAAAAAGTCTTTAGGTTGTCCGACATCCATCCAGAAACCTTGTAACTCCATTGCATACAACTGACCATCTCGTGCCATGAACGGAAACACTTCCTTTTCTATTGACATTGGTCTCAATTCAATCCGACTCAATACAGATGGATTTAATATGTACATACCTAAAAATGATAAACATTGAATACATTAAAATTAACATGAATGACAGTATGATTATTTTATATATAAAAAATGAAATCACAGTAAAAAATACAGAGACAAGTATGAATTTTTAACACCCTGTAGCTAGATGTCATATTTTATTTTTTATTGGTTTCTTAAGTTTACTCACCAGCATTAATTTTATTTGATATAAATTCCTGTGGTTTTTCAATAAATCTTTCAATTTGACCATCTTCTTTGTAAACAACAACTCCATATTTACTTGGCTCCTCTACTTTGGTCACAACAATTGTGCCTTCCTGAAATTAAACACAAGCAACAAATGAATTACAATTTAGACCAAAGTATTTGTATATAGTTGAGGAAATTTATTCCATACCCATTTGAGTGAAATGTTATTTGACTCACAATTCAATTAGGTTGATAACTTATCCAAACACTATCAGTTATTATGACTAAATATTACTAGTTATTGCAGTAACTTTATGACCCATATTCCAAGCACTGTTTCCTACCTTTCCGTGACTCTTGTGATATTTAGCTAGTTCTTTGAAGGGGAAATCACATATGACATCAGAATTTAATACAAAAAACGGCTCTGGACTTGTAGCAAGCAAATCTCTAGCCAGAGCAAGAGGCCCAGCAGTTCCCAATGGTTCCGTTTCATGAGAAAATGTCAAAGATACACCAAGTTTGGACACTTGCTCAGTCAATTCTTTCTCCATATCATCCGCTCGGTATGATACTGCTAGAATCACCTGAAAATAAAGAATGTATTTTTCTTCATATATATAAATATACTTTCCTAACAGTAAGAACTTTTTTGGTAGAGCAGTTATAATCTATTTGAGAAATCGTGCCTTGATAGTCATGTTTTATAGTAAAAATAAAAAAGTTATACATTTGTTGATAATAGTCCAGCTACTCTTAGTCATAACATAAGGTCATTAAAAGTGGTCAGTTGGTGAACCATGTACTATGAGTAGAGTAAATGGGCATATACCCATTTACCCAACTCACACGTTCACAAAAGATATAAAATAGGACATACTTGTGTGACACCGGCTTCAACGAGAGCTTCTATTTGATGCATCAAAATTGGTTTGTTTGCAAACTCCACAAGTGGCTTTGGTCTACTCAATGTCAATGGTCTCAAACGAGTCCCATAACCACCAACCAGTATTAGTGCCCGAATTTCTCCTAATTTTTTATCGGAACCGCACATTTTTCAAAATTGGTATTCTTTGTTATCTTAAAATAATAACATTTATCACCTTGTACGTGGCGCCCTTTTACAATTTTACTTTTATTGACATTCGGATGACGTTTAACTTTTTTTACTTAGTTGACAACAACCTTACACAAACTGCCAAAAAGAGAGTGCAATAATTATCTAGCCTAAAGAACGAAAATAAAATTACTAAAAAAATCTTAAAGATCATAAATTTGGTCTTTGCACCATCATAGAAACAATTATAATTACTATAAAAAAAATCGACTATGCAATATAAATTAATTTAAACAAATCGGAAAATCTTCGATCCGTTCCACTGCCGTTTCTGGCCGTTTCAAACGTCAATAATTTGATAGAACATGGTTCAGCAATTGTCTATTTCTCTAACATGACATTACGTAATGGCTAGCAGGCTGTCAGTGTCATAGTAGAAATTTTATTAATATTCGATAAAATTATACAATGGCTGTCTCAGGTCGTATTCTTCCTTGGTTAAAAGGTAAGTTAACATATATTTTTTACATTCTTTTCCTCCATTTAATAAACATTTCAAACACCGAAGTCTTATCAAGCTATTTTTTTGGACGTGACAATAACCTTGTCATGACTGCCATAGACTTTGAAAGTCAATAATTAAAAAAATATTTAATGGGTACCATCATGTGATAATTCTCAAAACGTATATATCTATTAGAAACCTGGCTTGGTACAATATCAGACTAATTAAACACTAATTTCACCGAGACCTTCATCTATTAATAAATGATGTCTGCAGTCATAATTTTTAAACACTGCATCTAATGAAGTAAAACGATACCACAAGAAATAAACAAAAATCGATTAATACGCCCTTGTTTGATAAAATTCAAATAAGTAATGTTCTAATCATGCATTTGTAATTTATGTTGAATTTATTTTATAGAAAAATTTAACATTCAAAAAATATAATATATACAGTAAAAAAAATTGTTGTTAGACCAAATTTCAAATATATTAAATTAAAATTCTCTACAACATGCAATATATATTCTAAAATGATAAGTGAACTTTGATCTTTAAAGTTACAAACAATGCTTATTATCTCATATTGTTATTGTAAATTGTAAATTAATAATAAAAACATATAATATATGAAATTATGTAATAACATGTTTCTTTGTTATATGACTCATTAATAACAGAAACTACACAAGTATTTAATAAATAATATTTAAATGTTACTACCCAAACATATACTGTTATCAGAATAAACCATAAATTCAAACAATGTTACAAAAACATATTTAATAGCTGTCACCCTACTTGATATACTCTATATACCTGATATACCTGAATTAAAATCAATCATCTAAACATTTGAATTTATAATATTAGTAAGATATGCTTCTCCTTGTTTTACCTCAGATGGCCTGAGACTCACCAGTGTGAGATACTCATCATGCGCAAGTGGCGGTGCAGGGAAGCCATATGAACAAACACGTAAAAATCTCAGACTATCCAAAGAGACTAAAGTCATTGTTCAAGGCTTCACTGGTAAACAGGGCACCTTCCACAGCCAGCAAGCATTGGACTATGGAACAAATATTGTTGGAGGTGTGTCCCCAAAAAAAGCCGGCACCGAGCATCTTGGGAAGCCTGTATTTGCTTCAGTAAAAGAGGCCATGGAGAAGACTCAAGCTCAGGCCTCTGTGATTTATGTGCCACCACCTGCTGCTGCAGCTGCGATCCTTGAAGCGGTGGCCGCGGAAGTTCCTCTTATTGTCTGCATTACGGAAGGTGTTCCTCAACATGTAAATATTTTAATATTATTACGTAATTTAAACTTAATTAACAAAAAAGATACATATGCCATTTCACGTTTCTTATTGGCATCCATTGGATTTTTCACATAACACATTTAGCTAATTCCCCACCTAACAAATGTTTTATTAAAAATGAGATTGTAAAGAAATAAAGGTACTGTACTTTTCATTAATGCTAATTTATGAATGTTGTTTCTTAAGGCAATAAAAAATAGAGTTCATGTTCATGCATAAACAACTTATGTAAATTTTCCTGTAGTACATAATGTATATTTAATTTTGTCTTACAATGCAACATAACTTTACTAAATAATTTACATTTTAAACCAGTTTTTCAACTTGTAAATTACGAAAATTATGCAATAGGGTCTAAAACCTTTCCAAAGACTTTGTGTCTTGAAAGTGTAAGAAAAAATTTGTTAAAACAGTAAAACGTACACTATAATAACTGTCGCCCGCGAAAATGCATATAAAACTTCATAAAAATGGGCCGAAAATGGGCATAAAATTGTGATACGAGAATTTTATATATAATATTAGACAAGGGTACAAATAAAATTGAATAAATGCTACAAGCTAAAAGATTTTATCTTTATTTGTCGCTTATGCAACTAAAATCACCATTGTTGTAATTTCCAGGACATGGTCCGCGTGAAACACGCTCTACTGCGGCAGAACAAGTCGCGTCTGGTGGGGCCGAACTGCCCAGGTATTATCGCCCCGGAGAAGTGCAAGATTGGTATCATGCCTGCTGCGGTGCATAAAGCTGGCTGCATCGGTGTTGTATCTCGCTCTGGTACCCTAACTTATGAAGCTTGCCATCAAACTACAGTTGTAAGTATTCATTATGAAACTTATGAATGCGAAAGTTTAGATGGATGGATGGATGGATGATTGTTAGAGGGTATCTCAAGAAGATTGCATGGATCTTGCTTAAATTTAGCATAGATGTTGAACATAGTCAGGAAGAGCACATAGGCTACTAATTAATCTAGTTCTGCACGAAAAGACTTCCGGGCGACTAGTTATGTCATATTTGTAAATTACTGTTATGATTTTTTTTTTAATTTCTATTCTAAAATTAATTTTATTATATCTCATTTCAGACTGGTCTTGGACAAACCCTTTGCGTTGGCATTGGTGGTGATCCCTTCAATGGAACGGACTTTATTGATTGCCTGGAGGTGTTCCTTACTGACCCTGAGACGAAAGGAATTATTCTGATTGGTGAAATTGGTGGCCAAGCTGAAGAATTGGCGTCGGAATATCTTACCCAACATAACACTGTGAGTTAGATTTATTTTGTTTTATAAACGGCGTTCTATACCTTCTGCCTACCCCACCTAGATACTAGAAATACTAGAAAATAAAAACTCTTTCAGGTAGTCACAGACAAAATTAAGATTTTTGATAGTTTATATTGTGGTGCTATAATTTATTTCTTAACAGAAATGAACTTGCAGAGTGATAGCGTTGAATGTATTCAATTAAACGCATCTTAGTAGATAAATAAAATTTTGCTCGAGAATATGAGAGTAAAGCTAGGCTAGTTAATTGACAAGTTCTTCAAAGGTTTCAAAAATAAAGATCTAAACTATAAAACCCTAGTTTTTAGGTTTATAGTGAATATACTTATCTTTGTCTTATGATAACATTTAAAAAAATCTCAATTAATATTCTCTTTTTAGGCGAAAAAGGTAATGGAACAAGACATTGCAAAAAGGTTATGTTGAATCATAAATCTTATCTCATACCTTGGTGTGTTGTTTGAAGTGTTTTTATCAAAATCATTTTGATGTTTATTATGATTTACTTTTTTATCATTTATAAAGTATTTTCAATTGATTACTTCTAGATTCATCGAACGTTTACACATAGTGTCATATAATTAATTCTTAGTGACAATCATTAGAATGTCATTTTCAATTTTTAATTCACAGAGTGAAATCGTATCATTTTTGTACACACGTATCGTAAGGTCAACCATAAAAGTACACAAATATAGTTTAAAATTAAGTTGATTTAGTTTTTAAAGGTAACCAAACAGATATGTGTAATGGTAATTTAACACATATAATGCTAACAAAGGTTGAGTTAATGGCAGTTAAAGTGTTTACACTGTTGCCAGGGCAGTTATTTTCATACAAAAAATTTGAATAGCATAGAATGTGTTAAATAGTTTACATAGTAAGGACCTTTCTCATTGATGTTGAGTTTAGTTAAAAGTATTTGATGTGTTTCAGGGTCAAAAAGCCAAGCCCGTGGTATCGTTTATCGCAGGTCTGACCGCTCCACCTGGCAGACGTATGGGCCACGCTGGTGCCATCATTTCAGGAGGAAAAGGTGGTGCCATGGATAAAATAAAGGCATTGGAAAAAGCCAATGTGATTGTAACCCGTTCCCCTGCCAAGATGGGTGTTGAATTACTCAAAGAGATGAAACGATTGGAGATTGTCTAAATTCTAGACAGGTTTTTTTGAATATTCTATCTGTTCATTTTGTATAGATTTTTAGCAATTATATCGACATTATTTATTTTGAAATGTTGTTTCAGTCAGATTTTTATTTTTCTTAATCATGATAACTGTTAAACCAGTGTCTATTCCGCCCCGATATACTCTTTTTACTTTTTTTTAAGCAAGTTGTAATCGTTACCTCATTATGGAATTATGCACTATATTGTTAGAACAGCACTATAAGTTTTAAATATGTCTATTGTTATTGTAGACAAATATCAAACTATTGCGGTGTTGATATGCTGATTGCTTTCAAGTGATTTGTGGCTGATATGCATCTCTGTATGAATATATATTTAGACATGTGCTATATATTCCTATGAACACAATTATTAAAACGAATAATATAATAAATGTCAGTATAAATATATTAAGCATTTTTTCTTCCATCAACAATGAAATTGGTATGTTTTTTGTGGATTAAGCATTATAGTAATCTTATATCTTGACGGCTCTTACTATTGTGGGAGTCGCTGTGCAGAACGCAAGCCTTAACCTACAAAATGAAATTTTATCTCACCGTTTGACAAAACTATGTAGTGGACCAAAATTGGAGTATAAAATAAGTTTATTTTCATTTGAAAAGTAGATTCTACTTTCCATTCAGTTAAGATTAAAAAATAAAACAATCATTTATTTAGATTTTTTTATTACAAAGGAAAAAGTATGAAAAAACAAAGTTTTATGTCCTTTTACATACTACTGTTTATATGAGGCACTTAGGAGTAAACATTTAATTATTTAAATGCAGAAAAATGGATGTTGCATCCATAATTTCATAAACATACAGCATACTGTATAAAGAACAGAATATAACCACTTTCTGAATAAAAAAAACGACTAACCGCTGGTTTCTGAGTCCAAAATGAATGTAAGACGACAATATGGTTTATACAAAGATTTAGGTGTTAGAAACCCATGGTAAATACTTCAAAGTAGCATGGACTGTTAAAGATAATTATAACTTAATAAACTTTAATAAGAAGAATTAATGAATAATTGGGTGTTTAAGTTAAACACAACGGAACAAAATTTTTATGGTATGTCCTGTTACTCAAATGAGACCTTTACAGATATGTTGAGTATCACAATCATATTACCTCTTTCTTTCTTGCAGAAAATACCCCAGTGGACACACTAATTCCTAATCGTGGGTTTCTGTCACCAAAATGGCTGTTTAAAACATATCTGTTTTGCCAAAGATTGACAGGGATGATATGTTTTATACCAAGGTTGTGTTTTTAGAAACTTACGGTAAGTATAAAGATGACTTTATAGTATACTCTAGGAATAGTAAATAAAGCTTAACACAACTTATAATATTAAGAACTAAATTTTTTAAATATTAACTTTCTAACATTATAGAGTACAATCACAGATAGTGCTTGAAATAATCACGGTGGGTGTTGATTTTACACAAATTGCATTTATTTCTAGACTTTAATTTATAAAATATACAATTTTGTATATTTTAATGATTCAACTTTGTATACAATAAGTTTTGAAACTACGATGTTAAAGTAATTTTAAATGTCATGATATTTTTTTACTACAGTGAAAAAAGAAGATATTTGTCTCTCACCTTCTGAGAAGAACTTACGAAACTTGCAGTTAAGATATTAAAAATTGAGTGGAAAAACATGCTAATTAATTATTTTACATTTCGCAAGCTCAAATTTAAGATATCCTAGTATAAAAATCAAGCAAACTTAAATACTTTTATTTGTCTTACATAAGAATTAATATCTTCGATCATATGAATCTCTGTGACCATAAGAACCTCTGTTTCCTCTATGGCCACGTCCTCTACCGCGATCCTCACCTGCTCTACGTAACTTCATAGCTTCAAATCGTTTTGCCATCATTTCCAATTCATCGGGAACTTCTTGATTTGCTTCCTCCAATATTTTGATAAGTTCTTTAGCATGTGCCCAATCACTTCTTGAAATAAATGTTAAAGAAGTGCCAACTTTCCCTGCTCTACCTGTCCTCCCAACACGGTGCACATAATCTTCAATATGTCGAGGAAAGTCGAAGTTTATAACATGTGTCAAATCTTGTATATCAATACCTCTGGAAGCAACGTCTGTCGCAATTAATATATTAACTGAACCATCCATCATATCTTCTAAAGCCGCTTCACGGTCACTTTGATCCCTATCACCATGCAACGACTGACAACGTATGCCCTTTACACTTAATTCTGTACAAATATGACTTGCTGTAGCTTTTTTGCCACAAAATACTATAACTTTGTCGTCTGGACCCATATTTATAATGAATGTCATAAGAATATTTTCTTTTTCATTTTCTTCAACAAACATTATTTTTTGGGTGACTGTATGGACTGCGGCAAGGTCTAATGAACCTACGTTGACTTGTATAGGATCTTTCATATATGATTCGGCAAGACGCCTAACCCCAGGCGGCCAAGTTGCTGAAGTCATAACAGTTTGCCGATCCGGTCTCACATCAAACAATGATTTACGGATCTGTGGCTCAAATCCCATATCTAACATCCTATCAGCTTCATCCAAAACAATGTAAGAAAAATTAATTATATTCAAATGTCTTGCCAGAACTAAATCATTGAGGCGTCCAGGAGTAGCTATGACTATATCCACACCCTTAGCAACAACTTTTATTTGTTCTTTCCGATCCCCTCCACCATATACACATACTGATTTTACATCTTTGTATTGGTACTTTGATACTTCTTTATGTATTTGTATGGCTAACTCCCTTGTGGGCGCTAAAACAAGCACTGTTGGGCCTGCCCTCTCTTCTCTTGGTACAACCTGACCTTCAATGTGAATCAAAGCAGGTAACAAAAAAGCTAGTGTTTTACCCGTACCTGTTTGTGCAATTCCTATCAAATCATCTCCTCTTAATAGAATTGGCCATGCCTGACTTTGAATTGGTGAGGGTTTTTTGAAGCCTTGTTTATATATTTCAACCAATATTTCTGGGTAGTTTTTAAATGCATGTTCAAATGTTATTACGGGGTTAGGTATAGGAGTTAAATCGGGTCTGTCAGCAAAAGTTCTCTTCACTTGAATATCAAAATTCAAACACCGCCAGTCTGCAACTTGTTTGGGTGACATTTTACTAACTTCTGGATCTTCTTTGTAAAAATTTTTCACAATTGGTGGTAATTTATCCCATTTCTCTTTTTGTGCCTTGTCATGAAAAGCATTCAGTTTATCCCAATCGATTACTTCAACTCCATGTTCATTAACCATTGTAAATGCATTGGTTTTTGTGCCATTTTCTGTAGCTGTCTGACTGCTACCTGATGGTTCATTACTATTTACTTCTGATTGTCTCCAATTTGACCTTTCCTGATATCTACCACGTGATCCACGTTGTCTGTTATTGTTTTGAGGACGTGAGTTTTGAGATTGATATCCAGATGCATTTGAAGAATATTGATCACGATTGTTTTCACTACTTCTATTAAAATCATTTTGATGATATCTTCCTCTTGTTCCTCGTGATCTGTTGTTATACTGAGGGCGCGAATATTGTGGAGGAGGCATCTGCACAGTTACCGGTTCTTCTTGCCATTCGTCTTCTATGTTTGCCATTTTTTTTTGTTTAATATGTTAACCTGTAATTTAAGAAATTTCTTTTAAACAAATGAGTAAACTACAACGATTAATATCAAACTTATACAGTAGTTGTTTCAAAAGAGTTATAGGTTTATTTTAAATAAATGTCGAATACCTCTTAACGTGTTGTTTAGTGTACGAATGTTATAAAAATACAAATCAAATCGGAGGGTTCTAATCACTATCTAGTTCTTTACGTTAATTCAATATTTTACTCTCTGTTATAAGCCTAAGACAGTAAATATAATTAAAGACGAATTACAAAGTTACTAAAAACGGAATAGGATTAAATGGGAATTGACATTTCTGAGAATTTCCGTTTCCAGTTTCCGTCGTGATCAGTGTGACCAAATTTAAATAGAACAATTTGTCCGAACGTACTATTAGTATTAGTTAATAATACTAAAATTCTTTTAAGACTTGGATTATTTATTGTTTGGTTCAATTTTTATATATCACTTATTACTCTTTGTTGAATTAATTACGGTTTTCAAAAGAAATGTAGCTGCCCCAGCAATTCTACGTCAATGTAGAGTAAAAAGTTTAAATACACCATGTATTTTTCAAATATATTTTACATTATACAATTTGTGCTGGAAACCGTAGCTTAAGTACTTGTTGTCGTTTTTATTTAATTTAAAAGTAATATTTGATCCCTTACCGTGAAATTTCTTCTTTCTGAAGACCTACACACAACTAAGTTTACTAAGTAGAAAATGCACATTACGCGCTACAAAATTCACTTCAAAGAAAAATAATTATTGTACGGGCATTTCCCGGCTATGAAAGTGTTTGAGTACTGCCAGTGCAAGAAGAAAAATACGCCTTTGCTTTGAGAAAGGTTATTTTTTTTAATTTAAATATCTGAATAGGTACATACGTAAAGTCCTGCTTCGATTCTGAGGAAGTTTAATAAGATTCTATTAAAGTTTCCTTATTTTTAGTTCTGCTACATATTCTCCTAAACCTTAAATAGGCAGTTAATTCTGCTAATATAGCAGAATTAACTGCCTACTGCTAAGTCATACTGGTGGTGATTTAACTACCATAGACAAGTATTTAAAATACTGCTACCAACATAGAAGGTGTGACTCGTCTTGTGGCTTTGAATCTTAATGTTAATAATAATAGTAATTATCGAGCACGAATCAATTTTAATTTATATTGATCTATATCACTAGTATAAATATTGTAATTAATATAAGCGCTGTATACTGTGACAATGTAATTTTGTAAAAAAAATTTTGTTTTATCTGTCAATGAAGAAGACAAAAGCAACTCTGGTAACAAGATCAATGTTGCCAACTAAATAATTTTCCCGTCTCTTAAGATTTACCAAATCAGCATTACCAAGAAAAAAGAACTACGGGACGGATTTTTTTTACTATTTACAGTTTATCTTTAAAGTACCAAGAAAATATTTAATATAAGTAGCAGTCATAATTAACTCAACTAAGATTGATGTCCTGGTAATTCAGCTCCCTGTTCACATTTGTGAAGCAGATCACTGAATAGCTCGCATCTCAGCTAATTTTGTACCTGCGTAGAGTTATCACATGCGTTTTAGGTAGGTTTCACTGGATAGTATGCGATGTAAAGAGTGGCAGTCCACAGTCCACAGTCCACTCTTTATTTATTTATTTATTTATAAATAAATAAATAAATAAATAAATTAATAAAGAGTGGAGCCTGTTTTAATGAGTGCGATTTATAGTACTTGCGCATGATTGGTCGCTCTGAGACTTGCCGAACATCTAATCGTGCTGTGAGCTAACAATTTAGACCATAGGTTCATGCCTTCAGAACCGAAGGTCACACCTTCGGTTCAGAACTGATTTACGATGTCTTCTTATATGCGCTTATTTTTACATTTTACATCGATATTAAATTATGAATAATCAAAATTCTGTGTGTTTTAAAATTATTGTTATGCAATTCGCTATCCTAAGTAACACGTACATCACACATTAAACTTAGGTATTATTTCTTCAAACGTAATAAAATTTAAACCTTTACAAAGTTAAAGGAGTTTTAAATTTAGTTCTGGCAACACTAAATAGGAAACGTCTAATTCCATACAAATCTACAACAAAAGATAAAGATAGAAAACTGCTAAGCTGCTAACTTCATTACTTTACTTCATTCATATTTCATAGTATAGCATAGTAAGGTCAAGAAATATTGCAAAGATATTGCTATTGAAAGCAAAGGATTTTATCGAAGATAAGATTAGGCACATCAAAAACAGTTTTTGATTAGAAGTTTTTACTTAAACCTTATAAAAACAAATTATGGACGATGGAGGTGTGGTCAAGATGATACTGGATAATAACTTGCCGCCTTTGAACTAAATTGAAATTGTCAATAATTACAATTGTTTTCTAATAATAAATTACCGCCGACGAGTCTTTAATACATTATGTTCGTTTCTGAAGAGAAGTTTTAAACAATCACATTGGAATCGCGTCTCTTCGAGTATCGCCAAAAATGAGCAATTGGGCGAGACGAATGCACCGGCGAGCTGCTACATTGAGTAATGTGGTCACGTCCTGTGGACATCCTAATACTCTCCCATATCCAAGACGTTTGGAAAAAGTTAAATTTGGTGTTCCTCTTCACGAAGTCTGCAAAGATGATATACCGGGACCTTTGCTTGTTAGTATGAAAACTTATTTTTTTACGATATTGCTGTATTGAGCGAGTGTTTCAGTGAATTGTGTTTTGTTCAGGTGCTGATTTTAAAGTTAAACAAGGAGGCACCGCTACGTCGTGATGTTTTTCGCGCCCCCGGCCATCAAGGTGCTATGAAAAAGTTAATACACTTCTTACAGACTGGCCGGCTTGTTAATGTGGATAATTACTCCGTGTATACTATCGCAAGTGTTCTGAAAAAATTTCTCAGGTATGTTAGACTAGAAATTTTTCATAAAACCTATTTTAAATTTTTAAAATGGTTAAATTGACATCAATAAATGAGCTGGCTAAGGTACTAATATCAATTTTTTTCTTTAAATTTGAGCAAAGTATATAGATTAATTTTTATTAAGGTATTTGAGCAGCAATTGTAAAAACTTAGGTAATTTGATTCATTTTCTTATATTAATAGAGATTTCAACAAGCATCACACTTTTGAATAGTATTAAAGGAAATTAAAACATACAAATTATTTCTTTCATTAGGAGACTCTTCCATGGAATAATATTTATATTGTTGCTCACATATTCCTTGAAATTACAAACTTAGTATTTCTAGAATATTGTTTCTAACTAATTGTGTATTTGTAGGAAAATCCCAGGCGGTGTGTTTGGTCGCGAAGGTGAAATGCATCTATTTGCTGCTGTAGAATTACCACCTGAACAGCAAGTCGGTGCAATCCGTGGGTAAGTACAAATTCATGATACCCTTTATCAACCATATTTCTAATACAAGCTGTCGCCAGTGAATTTGTATGCACGGTGCAAAAAACTAATTAGACTTTGAGTTATTCTGGTGAGTGATTTATCACTCTTTTTTATTTTGTTCTGATCCAAGCTGAGTTAATTGATATCCATCCATCAAAGCTTTGGTGTTTTTAATTTTAATGATATTATAAATGCGAAAGTTTGATGTATGGATGTTGGTTTGAAGGTATTTTGGAAATGGCTCAACGGATTGTGATGAAATTTGGCACACATATAAAGCATAGTTTACCAATGAAATTTTATTTTTAATTCCTCGTAGACAGAGTCATACGCGACAGCAAGTATTAGTAATAGCTTACAATTTGCAGTTAACATCCGTAGTGGACCCCATTCGGACAGACTTCAATTCACTTAAGAGAGGGGAGAGTTGGGGAAATTAATATCCATTGTAGTCTTTTTATTACCAGTCTGTAGATTCTGTTAGTATTTATAAATGTGCATGTCAATTTTATTGTCTGCCAGTATTTTGAAATTTTAATTTTTTTTCTAATGTCAAAATTAATTTTGTCTTATATTGTATTCAAACTTTGTCTCTACTTTTGTTGTGCAGATGATTTGTATAAAATTTTGAGTATCTTCAATGTAGGTGCTATATATCAGATAAATTTTTATATGGATTTATATTAAGATTTTTACACTGGTAGAGCCTGCTTTAACATCTTCGCACGAATTGGCCCGGCTCGCCCGGTGAAATACCACGACCACACAGAAGACAGGCGTGAAGTGGAAGCAATTCCGCGTTTCGTCTGATGAGTGTGCGTCCTGGAGGCCTAATTTAGTCCTCTTTCCCTTCCCACCCTGTTTCTTATAAGGAAAGGATTGAAAGTGGAAGTGGACTTTCCAGATGAGAGGATGCATGGAAAGAGAAAATATTTTCTCTCTGTGCATCCTCTCCTCCGTCGATTAAAGGAAGGCAACGCATATGCAATTGCGTATGTCTATGGGCAACGGTCGCTTCGCTATTTCAGCGATTTTAGGTGGCTGCTCACTCGTTTGCCACCTTATGATATAAAATAAGAAGATACTTAACAGCGGCCTCTTTAACTTACCAGTATGCATTATAATGATTTCAAACACTAGTAGAAGGAGCTACTTTCTTTGACTCCATGTCTAGTGCATATTTATTATATCTCAATCACTATAAATCAATTTAATTAACTTCGTTTAATTTTCAGTGGAACTGCATGAGGAAATTTTAAATATTCAAAATTAAATAAACTTCTGGTTAACATATCCATTAATTATTATATAATTTAAAGAAGCAATTATATTTTAATGTAATAATTAAAAAATATTCATAAAAACAATGTTAGATCATTCTTGTGTTAAACTGCCAATAAAAGAGGTAACCAACACTTGTAATTAAATCAGGATAAAATCTTACTAATATTATAAATGCGAATGTTTGGATGTATTTATGGATAGATGGATATTTGTTAGAAGGTATCTCCAGAAAGGCTGGATGGATCTAACTGGAATTTGGCATAGATGTAGAACATAGTCTGGAAGAACATTTAGGGTACTTATTATGTTTTTTTTTAATTCCGGGCGAAAGGAATCGAGGCCGATAACTACTTTGAATATAATTTTACACCTTTAATAATTCTTCCCACATATGGTAAAGTAATTTTTTTTATTCGATGAAATATTCAAGTTTTTTTTTATGGAGGCTTGAATCCGTAGTTCAACATCCGTAGTTGATTTGAAAATTATCAAAGTTTATATCCGACAAAGTAAGTAAACATGGTGTTCCTTGTGATGATTCAAGCCATCATAGTAATTAATTGGCATAAATTAGCAGCTAGTCCGGTGCAGAAAGTGTTCCGATGTAACCGCCTTACGCAAGTCTTTGTTAACCGGGTTATAACTGTATTAATAATTAACTACATACTAGCTGTCGCCCGCGACTTCGTCCGTGCGGAATTAAAAAAACTTAATAAGTGGCCTATGTGGTCCTTCAGATAATGTTCTACATGTACCCCAAAATTCATCAAGATTCGTTAATCCGTTCTTGAGATACATTCAAACAAACATCCATATATCCAAACATTTGCATTTATAATATTAGTAAGATATAGCGATAATTTCATAATTCATACGATGTGTGATTATAATATTTTGGCTTTTATATCACAAAATAGAACGTCAGTGGCTCAGTGGTTAAGCACTTGTCTTGCAATATGCAGATCCTGGGTTTGATTCCCGCCGTGTACCAATGTTTTTCGATTTACGTATATACATTTATTCGACGTTCTTACAGTAACGGAAATCACAAATCTGAGATGAAATTCAAGGATATTTCTTAAATTAATCAACCCGCACTAGGCCAGTGTTGTTTACTGTGGTTAGGTACATCTAACTTAGAGTAGGCTCCGAGCCCCTCAGTGGGAACGTATAATAATTTTTCAGGTTTTGTTTGACTGATTTTGAAGTGTGCTTTTTTGAGGATACATTCGGGTGGGCATTTTGTTTATTTTATTTCTGATTTTCGACAGTATTGAATTACGTATTAAAATATTATTAATTCTAGTTGCTATGTTTTGTATTAACTAGTCTCCTTTGGTTTTCAACCGCGTTAAATGGATTCGTACTGCTTTTTCAAATTTTTAAGTATAACAGATCGGCCAACGTGTACCGTTCAAAATGCATTTCGGTAATTTATATAGATTTCCTTGCTTTATTGTAAGATTTTAACGCTTGTTAAACTATACCGCCTATATCTGACATAAGCGTATTTTTTAAAATTATTTTTTTACATGATGCTATAGGAAATACCTACATTTTTCTCGCTCTTAAGCGACTGCCGAGCGTTGTTCGTACGATTCCGGCCTGTTTAAATGAACCTTTAGATCGATTAAGACGATCTTATAAATATTAAAACAGACATAATATCGCATAACATCTCGATGTACAGATTAGGTCGTCATATCCGTCGCAACGCGTTACGGCCACGAACAATGGCGAGTTTATCGATAGAATTTCGATGCCGCAACGTTGTTACGGATGCATGCGCACCGCTTATCGATAATTCATACGATACATCACTATAATTACACGGATTGACGTAATTACACAAGCCAATGTACCCAACCTTGTTCCGTATTACGTGTTGTAACATGCGTTGCCTTATGATTGGTATTGGTATAGGTTTTTGGTATGGAAAATTTTGCTCCGTACCGTTTATCAGATTGCAATTATAACCCTTTGCTTTTTTACAATTTGATACGAAATAATAAATTTAATAGTAGAAAAAAAAGGGTACTCTGTTGAAACCGTTTTTTTTAATTTCAACATTGATAAACATTGTGTTCCGTAATAAACTAACCTATAGTTTATCGTGTATTGTACAATGAGTGACACAATTTCGATAACCGACAAACTAACTTTACGTTAACGGTAACATGATTTTATAACGAACAATACCGTTCGTTACGATTGAACTGCAAACCAATATTTATTTATATTAGCGTCTTTTAAAGTTACATCTTACAATTTTCGTTCCCATACTCCTCAGAAACGGCTTGACCGATTTTCATAAAATTTTGTGAGCATATTGAGTAGGAGAGAATCGCCCAACATCTATTTTTCATCCCCCTAAATGTGAAGGGTAGTCCACCCCTAATTTTTTTATTTATTTTGTAGACAAACACGCGGACGGAGTCGCGGGCGACAGCTAGTAAGAAATAAAATGTCCCGCAAAATTTTATTTGACCATATAGTATTGCGTGTTTTACTGGTTCTAAAAATTAAAAAGTATGATAAAGTCGTGCAAATAAAAGAAAAATTATTAACAAGGGACGAGTATATTAAATTTAAATTTCGAATTGTCTCGTTGTTTTTTTTTAACATTTCTATGTTACATTTATAAAAATGACTTTTCGGCCAGTATTAAATTGTTTTTTTAAACATTTCTATGTCACATTAATGAAAATAACTTGTCGGCCAGTATTAAAATTTTCGTTACATCCTCTGTTACGTCATCCATTATAATTGTTGTTTGCTTTAACATTTAATGGGCGCCGGGGTCAACGACCGCTGTTTGTGTTTACAATAAACGCCTGCCTGTAATTGGGCCGTTCCCACATTGCCCAATGGTGAATCTCTTTGTCAAGCTATAGGTATATTACCGACTTTTATTTAGATTATCTTTTTATTGTAACTACTATAAAACTATGAAATTGCCTAAAAAAGGTTCGATTTAAATATGGCCAAATAGTGGTATTTTTTTCGCAAAGTTTTTCAGTTCAATTTATTATTATTGTTAATTTCAATGTTTTCGGGTTCCTGAAATTATTTTTTATTACAGTGTAATATACACAAGCATAGAGTGTGTATGGTCGTCCTCCTTTTTTTTTAATTTTAACCCACTTCCTTCCCACACCTTCAAAAATCTTACTAATATTATACATGCAAATGTTTAGATGGATGGATGGATAGATGTTTGTATGAAGGTATCTCCAGAACGGCTGAACGGATAGCGATGTAATTTGGCATGGATATAAAACATAGCCTGGAAGAACACATGCTACTAATTAAGTTTTTTTTAACTCCGCGCGGACAGAGCAGTGGGCGATAGCTAGTTCCAAATAATTAACCCTAAGTTCTTTATTTACAGACTTCTGTTGTCGCTCCCCGTGTGTACCCAGAGACTGCTCGTGCTACTTTTCGGCACTTTCCGGGTGATGGCCTCAAACGCCGATAAAGCAGGTGAGTGTTTATTTTTTTTGCGCAAATTCTACGCACACGCTTGCGATCTAAACAAACGATAGATATCGCCACACTTGTTTAAACGTGCAATTCCACAGCTGTGATAATTTCATTGACATATATCTTTGTCTCTGTTTTTCCTAAGATAATGAAAGGGATGACAATATAATTTTTTAAAAGTGCTTCGGCAATCGAATACAATAATATTAGGCTCTCAGTACAGTTATCTCATAATAGCTTTTGTTTTTTACGGGATTAAGAAAAAATAATAAAGATAGTCTACGTTACTTAGTGATAATTTCAGTTTTATTTTCTAATAGTCCTGTAGTGTTTGATTTTATTCGTTACATACAAAGATGTAAATTATAATATTAGATACAGAATAATCCTAAACTGATGGTTTTCCTTAGTGATCATTTAACGTTTCTGAGTGCGGTACACTATTATGTTACATTCATTTCAATCTGAGTTCTTAGTACCCTTGATCTAAATTCCTTTTTCTCATACAGGTGTATGTCTCATGAATTATATATTATTTAATAGATATGTTACATATTAGGGTTTCTATTACATACCAATGTCTTTGAGGATTTGTATGACATTGGGATTAAATATAGCTATTTGTGTCCTATGTAATTAGTATTTATCCTTTAAATAACAATTTACAAGGTCATAGCAAAGAAAAGTTGGTAAGTCTTACTGAAGTAATATCTATATATATAATAGAAAGTGGTGTTAGTTACACTATTTATAACTCAAGAACGGCTTTACCGATGTAACTGAAAATTGGTGAGGAGGTAGCTTACAGCTAGGAGACGGACATAGGATACTATTTATTCATTTTTTCGAATTTATGCCTTGAAGAGCTGCTTTTTATTTAACTTACTGATATTATAAATGCGAATGTTTAGATGAACTGTTGAAAGGACCTCGATTAAATTTGACATACGTATAAAACATAGGCTGAAAGAACACATAGGCTACACTAATTAAGTTTTTTTTTATATATCCACGCGGACGGAGTCGCGGGCGACAGCTAGTACCTTATATTTAGGACTTGAAATGCATCCTAGGGACATGGCTATTATTTTTATCTATGATTATTGATCTGATAGGTTACCCCGTTATGGTTAATAGTCGCGATAGCTTTCAACGCTATTGAAATCTGTTTTTCGCAATTTTTTCCGCGACCTCGGCACAAATTTAATTTGGCCGCAATCCCGTGAGAAATTGGATTCCAAGAATTAATAAATTTATCTATGGAAATGTTTTGTGAACTTATTTGCTATTTCTTCATCGTATTCGAAAGAATAATAAAATTCTATATATTTTAATCTTAACTCTTACTAATATTATAAATGCGAAAGTTTTAGACGGATGGATGTTTGTTGTTACGTATGTATCTCCGAAACGGCTAAACGGATTTCAATGAAATTTGGCATATACATATGTAGAACACAGTCTGGAAGAACGCATAAGCAGTTTTTTTTTTAATTTCGCACAGACTAAGTCGCGGGCGAAACTAAAAAACATATAAATATAACAGATAAAAGTAAAAAAACATTAAGAATTTGATATCCGAAAATAACTAAAACCTTTTTATCTGCTAATAAAAATCCATTTTACAAGTTTTTCTTTTATATTTCTGTACAGGGCAAGTGATTTATGATAAATCTATTCTGCCGAGTGAAACCAGGGCGTTGTGCTAGTGCTACACAATATTAATATTAATTATACATCGGTTAATATTGTAACCGTAGCCTTGATGCTAAATGATATGACAATACGCTATTGAGGTTTTTAATTATAAAAATATATAAGTAGAATCGAGATATCGTTTCGCGCCTTGAAAAATAAGATGTGCCTTGTACATCCAGCTAACACGAAGTTCTGGTAATATTTTTCTATTACTAGGATGTCGACGTTTGTCCGTTCGGTGATTGTCGTTGGCCATTTAAATGCTATAAAAAATTATATACAAAAACATGACAATCGCTAAAGACATTTCCTAATTCCTAAAAAAAATAGTTCCTCGTCATATAACGTTTTGTCCGAATGTTCATGAATCGTAACGAACACAAAAATAATAATTATTGTTGCTAATTTCGCCAATTACATGCGATCGCGTGGGCGCGCACGCATCACTGGCAAACAACTGTAGATACAGTATGTTTTGAATTTTTATTGACAGCTATACTTATTTTAATCTAAAATTTAGCTTTGCACAACAGTTTGACAGTTTACCGTGAGTTTCTCAGACAATATTCCTCTTTTAAAACATATTTTTATCTCTGTTTTGTTAAAGAAAGTGACAGGGACATGACCATATGTTTTACTGTGGACTAGTGGTCGCCTGCGACTATGTCTGCGCGGGATTAAAACGAAACATAATTAGCGGCATGTGTGTTCTTCCAGACTATGTTCTCTTCTCCCTTCTGAGATCCGATCAGCCTTTCTGAAGATACCTTCAAACAAACATCCGTCCATGTATCTATTCATCGATCCAAACACTCGCATTTACAATATTAGTAAGATTTTGGTCTCAAAAACCAACGTTTAGGAAGAGCAGGGATAGTAAACCTTTAAAAATATTTAATTATAATATATAATATATTTAATAATGATAATAGAAATATTTAATAAGGTTATATATGTCAACAAATAATTGTGATTATTAGGAACATTCTGTAGGGTAGCTATCAATAGCGTATTTTCGAAGTTTTTTTTTCTTTGTTTTTTTTTCGTAGTTTAGCTAAGTCCTTTAAAAATCCTTTTATAAAATACCAGCGAGTGATATGTCATTGTTAAAATTTGACCCTGTCACATTGTTATAATTTTTCTTATAACATCACACGTTGGGTGGTCTTGCATTCGATTGTATTGACAATACGAAGTAAATGACAATCGACATTGGCCGAGTAAGGTGATCGGTCGGAAACAGTCGGACAAAACAATTGCACTGCGACATCCTCCCGATCATATTTGGCGGGAACAATAACATTAGACATTAGGTCTATGGCTGACAAACAATGGACATAGTATGAAACAAAACTAGGATTTTTAAACTAATAACAATATTGAATGTCGCTTATGTTATTTAGGAATAATATAGGAATGTTATAGTAAACATTTTTTTTAAATCGGTGTCGTAGTTTTTACTGAAGAGCCATTGCGAAAGATGGAATAAATACCTATATTTTTTTTATTACTCGCCCTTATTAGGTCTTAAATTTTGCATAGTACAGAGTAAAACTAGTTGGTAATATAATTTAAATGTTGGTTTTGATGTAACACAAAGAAACCCTACATATTTTAACCAATATAAGTTAGATATCTTGAGATTGAAGGCCGGCAACGCATCTGCGGTTCCTCTGGTATTGCTGATGTCCATGGGCGTCGTTGAACACTTCGGTGTTCCCGCTGCTCGTTTGCCCCCTTCTGGTATAAAAAAAAAATCTAGACTCTTCCTCGGTCTTCGATTTATGAATAATATACGAAATCAATGAATTTATTTTTAAAACAATTATATCTTGTAATGTCCTCGAAAGGTACAAATAACTGTATTCCAAACACAATTATCGTCATGTTCCATCGATACCGGACTTCTCAAAATGGCTGCGACCTTTTCCAGCCAGTTTCAAGTTGGCGCATCGTTTATAATTCTACATTTATGTATCATCGAACTGGCGAGGTTTTATTTTAAAAACGAAACTCATCACACCAATGATCTATACAGACAGTCAACGATTATACTTTCATTATTACTTAGTAGGTTTGCATCAAATGTTCTGCAATTCCTCTTATAAAATAACTCGTCGTGAACTTCTATATTGACCGAACTCAATAACCGATTACTAACCCATTTTGTTTATCTTAGATAGTTTAAATTAACAGTTATTTACCTTTATAACAATTAACATTTTGGATTGATTTATGGTTTACTTGGGCGTTAGTGAATTTTATTAATTTATTTCTTTTATTTAATTGAATACCGTACGTTGCTATAACAAGGCGAATGACGTTTTTACGTAACAAAGTAACCTGGCCATTCATAATACTAACCACAAAGGTTTCTATGACATCGACCTTCGCCTTGAATGAAGTATGTAATACTGTTATGTGAATCATATACCCAGATTACAACACGAACTGTGGATTTCTGACACCAGAATACCCGATTAAAAATGTTATCTCTGTTTAGTCGTAGATTGTAACATAGATATGTATTTTATATAATACAAAGATTTTAGTCTCAGAAATCCACTGTAACGGTCGTAAGGACGATCTGGATTTGGATGACAACACTCAACATTTTGAGGTTATATGTTTGGAAACACCAGTTCAAGACTATCTATACTAATATTGTAAAGAGGGAAGATATGATTGTTTGTTTCTTTTCATTGAATAGGCTCCTAAACTACTAAAACAATTTAAAATTATTTTACTGTTGGGAAGCTACACTATCTCCATGTGAAAAAGGCTATTGGCTATATTCTTTACTAGATTTTTTATTGCTAGTTAATAATATTTCTAATAGAGATAAAAGGCTACAGCTAACGTGCAATATTTTCACGCGTTCACAGCTGTGGATTCGCGCGTTCACTTTACCAGCAACCGTAGTGGCATTGAAAGTGTTAATATATTGTAATATATTTTGATTTATGTCTTGATGTTTGTCATAAAAGGAGTTCGGTATTGTCACCAGGTACTGGTATGACATCTGAGGCGTTGGGTGTGTCCGTCGCGCCGTCGTTCTTCCATTCCTGTGTGTCTGATGGCAAGACCGCCACCATGGAGGACGTGCAACGCTTCAAGGTCAGTTTCATTCAATCATTTACTGATAATCGTATTGTGCGACTAATATATCTGGCCCGGTGAAAAGTACACACAAGACAGGTCTTACAAAAATCGTGTGATATTTTGACATTGAACAGTATTGTGCTTGTCCCTTTTAGGGTTCCGTACCTAATAGGATAAAAATGGAACCCTTTTAGGATCACTTTGTTGTTCGTCCGTCCGTCTATCAAGACCCTTTTTCTCAAAAACGCGTGAAGGTATCAAGCTCGATTTATATCAAATATTTAGGTCTGCGGTCGCTAGGTGCTGTGAAAAACTAAAACTTCTAAGCCAACCCAATCAAAAGATACAACCGTTTATTCATGTTTACTTTCGGGCCGGGTATAGAACAATATTTGAGACAATTCATTCATCATTCACCACTCACTAATCTGATGTTTCGTTATGTGAAATATTCATTCATTCGGTCACTTATTGTAATGTCACGTGAGAATCAAATGCCCGTGAACGTTCGCATGGGTTTGACGAAGCGAGACTTCATTTAATGCTCGAGTAGGTAAACAGACAATATTTACGCTATGTAAATGTATGTACATAGATGTATAATGGAGACACTAATTTTGTACGTCCTATCTACATTCGCGGTATTACGTTCCGGAAATGTTCTGCGAATACGGAATTTGAGCTTGCGAATTATGAGACGGCTATCCACAGCATCGTTAATAAGGAGATTTAAGGTACGTGTCCATTAGCCCGCGCCGTACGTACTTAACGCACGGATTAAACGGATTTGCTTTGTCTTTCAAAGCGGGTGGCGTGGATGATGGACACAGCTCTATGTAAAATCATACAAAGTAAACTAAAATCCGTTTGCGGGCTGCGCGTGGGGTGCGTACGGCGGGCTAACGGACGCGTACCTTTAATTGTCCATAAAAGCAAAATACTTTAATATCAAAGATGTGGCTTTCCACACAGATAAAGCAAATTTAATTATTCTGATGCATATCTTTTTTATTTTGTCCATATTATGTGTAATGTGAAGTTACCACATTTATTGCACAAAATGGAGGAAATCGTCTCATCATGACTAGCGTTGGTTATACGTATTAACAATAAAAATTGCAAGTCCTAGACCGCCGTTATCTGATAACTATCGTATTGTAGTCAGTAAACAATACCTTTCTTGTATTAACAACTTGATATTAAGATAATATTAATGTTCTTTGATAAAATTTAATTCAATATAAGTTGACAAATTAGTCTTTCGTTTTAATAAAAAAAACAATTTTTTAACCATACACTGTACAAAGAGGAAATTTTTATTTAACAGTTGCGAAAAGTCATAAGAAATGCCTTATTTTGTATTTGCGGGAATCTAATAATTTAACTTCTTAATATCTTGCTAATGTTACTGATATTATAATTATTATAAATACGAAAGTTTAGATGGTTGGATGGATAGATAGCGGGCAAAAACTATTAAAATATAATCCAGGTCAAGGCAGAGTGAAGAAGGAAATTACGAAGGTCGAATAGCTTTTTTGTCACATTATAAATTTGCAGCTATCAATAGAAAAAGCAAAAGATCCGAATTAAAAAACAAATAATTGGTGCTTGCCTTAATTATTACTTTCCTGATTTTTAGCCGACTTCAAAAAGAAGGAGGTTATAAATTCGTCTGTATATTTTTGTTATGTGGGTTACCGCGTAATACAGCCCCTGGTGCTCTGATTTTGATTTTTTTAATCGAAAGGTTTTAAAAACAATGTTTGTCATTATCACGGGCTTAAACGAAGCTGTTCGCTCCGAAGCGATTCCAAAGCGAGCTACAAAAATGTATAGAACTGACAATAAGTTTCTATAAGTCACGTAATTTTTTTTAATTATAAGAGTTATTTCGCTTTGGAGCGACAGCATTATATCTAGCTAAATTTGAAAAAAAAAATGAATAAATAGTATCCTATGTCCGTCTCCTGGCTCTAAGCTACTCCTCAAGAATTTTCAGCCATATCGGTAAAGCCGTTTTTGAGTTATAAATAGTGTAACTAACACGACTATCTTTTATATATTATATATGGATTACGATTTAATTATTTAAGACTACACTGTTTGTTGGATTGCTACAATCCAGTGAAATCCTATATGTTTTCTATGTACACTGTTATATAAACATTTTGGTATATAAATGTAAATTGTAAATAGCTTGAATTGTTCATGATATTGTCTTAAACATGCGGCTAAAGGCTGAAGTGAACGTGAGTATTTTATTAAATGTTTTTTGTATACTGCAAAATTATTACTCTTATTTAGTTTTAATTATGTTATTTTATTTTATCTTTTACATGCACGTAGTATTAGATATAGATTCATATACAGGATGTTCTTTTTAGTCTTGTGATAAGTAGTTTAAAAAAATGTAAGTAAATATATTAAAGAAGGCAACTTATTGTCGTAGAATTTCACTGTTTTGACATTTTTACTATATTTTAGTTTTGTCGAAGAGAATGTACAAATGACACTGCAGTGGAATTCAACGGTTAGATTTTACTCTTTATAACTAAGCTATGTAATAAGTTCCCCGCTTTGTTTGTTAGATAACGCTTGGAATGCTTAGATCAAGATTGCATCATGTTACACTTTCAGTTCGCATTACACGATAAAGTTTGACTCACAAATGTTTAATTTTAATTACTCATTGCCTTTAACATCTGTGAAATAACAATGTTAAAGTTATAAATTATTAATATCCAGGAAGTTTATATATGAACATACAAGGAAATACAAGAAATGCATGTACTCTAGAGCCACGTTGTCTCATCTATTTCTATTAAGGCGCTAACCGCGCGACTGTGACCGCGTGCGACCGCCCCAGTGGAAATGAGCGATTTAGTATAAAAGACGATCGCGCGCGGTTAACTGCTAATTGGAAATATTCTTTTTTTTCTATTGTAACCGCACAGAGTAGAATGCGACAAAATTTAAGAGTATATCAGCAGTAATATAATGAAGTATTTGAAGTACTGATTGTAATTTTGTCGTGTAGGTGGCGACTCGCATCATGAGGCAGTTGATCGAACAGTTCAGCGCTGGAGATCTCTTTGGACGGGAAAACTACGAGTTTTACGCCCGTGTTACGGGCCGTATATTGCGCGTTAAGGATGAATGGATCTGCTCGTTCAGAGATCCCCCGCCGCCGAGACATCATCGGGATCAAGAGGCTTATGCAAGTGAGTCGTTCATTCATTCACCATTGACTGTATAAGTACCTTTCAGTTCAAAGACTGACTACAAATGCAGTTAGTTTATTAAGATTCCCGTCAGTTAAATTTATGTACTATCAGGGAATCTGTCGATATTCCACCTTAAAGTGACATGCGGAAATAATAATCTATAGGATGCAGCTTTTAAAATGTTTCTGTACGAAAAAAGGTCGGTCAGTACACTACTAATTTATTTTTACTGCTCAAGTCACTGCTACCTAATAGGTTATTTTATATTAAGGGGGCGGAGGTTGTCTCGTTGCGATGGAGGCAATTTTTCTGTAAGCGGAATACCGCGAAGGGTCCTGACTGTACATAGACTAAATTTTTTCTTTATTATAATTTATAGGGCAGCTGTCACTGGAAGCAGAGAAAACATGGCTGCAATGTGAATGCGATCGTTGGGGCAACAAGTTCAATCTTGAAGGTATGGGATTTACTTATTACCAGGGATGGTGAACCTTTTTGAGAATTTGTTAAATCAATGTTTGATTTTAGCTAATACCTGTTACAACTATATTTAATGCGTACAAAGAAGCTGTCAGATTAAATTGTAATCGTAAAATAATTTTGTATTTTAATTAGTATTATGCAAAAAGGTTTATTATCTCTGACTTTTAGAATAATATTTATAGTGTCTTATATGTAATGCGTACATTTTTCGCAGGTCGTCCCAACAATTCCCGTTTATAGTATTAAAATTGTCAAGTTAATGTACAAAGTAAATTACTGTTAATTTAATATAATCGGTGAGTTTCGGAGTTAATTTATAAAATCATTAATCATAATTGCGGTAACCTGTAACGTCATGTTATGTCCTGACCGGGGTTTTGGGTTTTTGGTAGCACGTAGTACGTAATTTGAACACTATTGTACTAATATTAGAATACATTTTGTAACGAATCATTTGGTTAGGGGTTGGTATAAGTCGATCAGTTTTACCCATAGATTATATATAACTTGGTATTTTGAAGTATAAAAGTGACATTTCATTTCTTTTTAAAATACGTGGTTTTAGCCAAAAGGTCTGTTCAGATTTAGGGTTGGCAAAATTTATGACTTGTTTGTGATGAATTCAAAATTTCTGTGTTAGTTATATCTGTTTAATTATGGGAAAGATTTTTTGATAGTTTTTATCTATAGGGTTATCAAAATTTTAAACTTTGTCTTGTCCAATTCAAGATGTCAATTTTTTTACTTAAATAGGGTTGTCAAAATTTTGATTTTTTTTGTTCAATATATTTTTCGACATGATTAGTTAGAATCCTTTGGCGCGAATGTCGCGCTTTCGTTACGAAGACCAGTATCAGTATGAATAGTGAGGAGTAATAAACGTCGACATTTTAGTAAGGCTAGTGTTGGGTCAATACACTGCCACGTTTTCGGATTTTCTTCCTAATAATATGTTTGTTTCTATCTAGGGGTGTCATTTGCGTTGTGTTGTTGTTAAGTAGGTGATTGATTGTTGGTAGGGTTGTCAAAGTCTGAGGAGTGTCAGTCGATGCCGACGCTGGCGAGTGCGGGGGGCGCAGGCGCGGCGGGCGGCGCGCTAGGGCTGGGCATCATACCCGAGCACAGCCTGCTCGACTCCTGCACACGTCTCTCTATATCACTTGAAGAGAGCGTCTTTAAGGTAACATTGGACAGATTTTTTTTTTTAATAATTCATCTTAGTTTTAGCTTTAGCTAACTAACTTTAAATACAACTAGCTAATGTGTTCGTTTAACAGGCGAGAATGTTCCGTTCACGTCACAGAATTTCTTAAAAATAATAATCGCTACCTTATCCCACTATCTTAGTTTTTTTTACTATTTTAGTTTATATTATTCCAGTACAGTAGGACAGCGACGTTCAAAATTAGCAAATACAACTGGCATAATGTAAACACTAGCTCCAGTGAGCCAAATGAAAGGCCGGCTCTACTATCCTATTACAAAGTAAAGTAGAAATTAATTTAAGTCTGTAATCTGTAACTGTCTTTCCCCAGTTAATTCGACTCTTTCTCTCTGCAACTAGCGGTCGCCCGCGATTCCTTTCGACTAAAATTAAAAAAATAATAATAAGTAGTCTATGGAATTTTTCAGACTATGTTCCATATGTATGACAAAGTTCAAGTACAAACAAACATTCATATAAACATTCGCATTTATAATGTTAGTAAGATTGACTATTGATTCTAAAACTATATTAAAATATATTCCAGGTGTCTGTGAGTTCGTCATCTCAGTCATCGTGTAGCAACTCGAGCCCGCACATGACGCTGGAGGAGCTGCGCGCAATCAACAAGTACGCGGAGAGCACAAAAAGCCTGTCATACTTGCCTCAGGTATGTCCTACTTTTATGTCTACGTGTGACGTCATAACTTTCCAGAAACTTCCATTAGCGTGTTGATACTGTATACGATCGAGAAAAATTGATGGATTTTAATAATTAAATAATGTTTCAGTGATTGTTTAATTAACAATTATTTATTTATTAAGGGAAATTGAATCATACCTTTCAGATAGATTTGATGGTTAAGACATAATCTTATAGATATTTTAGGTTAAAGATATCTGACCATTTACTTTCTAGAAAAAAAAACGCTAGTATATTTTAAAGTTTAATTTTTAACAATTACCTTAATAAAGAGAAAATTTAATAGCTTTAAAATAGTAGTTCTTCGCATTTGTGTTTTGAATTAATAAAAATTCAGTATAAATTATTTTATGTTTAAATTCTAGCGCACACTAAAGGATCTATTGTTTGAGTAATGGTGACGAGATTTTTTCTCATTAGCCCACCTCGTAGTACCCGTTTCCACTAAGAAAACTTGTCTGTCTTTTATAACCCTAACCACTACCAAATAAATTTTATACATAAATTGATAACCTATAGATGGAGATACAAGTTTGACTTTTAATCGACAGTAGTTTTTTTTTTGTCATTTTTTATTGTAAATGGCAACACTGAGGAAATTTACCCGAAAAAAAAGGCCTTCGGAGGACTTTTCGTTTCAATTTTGTCTACGGATTAGGTTATCTACAGGTTATTAATCTATGATTCTTATTATAATCACGTAGAAATGTTTTTAATCTATGTCTATGATATTCGAAATTTGAATTTAGCGATGGTCAAATACTGGCCGTTTACAGTATTTGTTAGTGGTCTGTGTAAAAAAAAATATGCATGTCGAATCTCTGTCTCCGTAAAAAAAGGTCTGTGGTTGTTCCTTTTTAGTAATGTTTAGATGATTTTCCTGTAAGAAATTTCGGTCAATTGCGTATATGAGAAGTATGATTTATTGTGTCGCTGATAGTTTGTGAACTGAGCCAGTTTGTAATATCACTAGGCATATTATAAATAACCAGAGTTTTGAACTGAAGGAATAGTTGACAATTTGACATAACAGTTAGTCATAACAATTATTTTTTTATTTGATTTATAACTCATACCTAACCTAATCTATAAATTAATTCTAACGTAAATTATTACTTAATAATAACGCATGCAAAATATTATTTTCCAGTTTAAACTTACGAAAAATACGTCAAATTGTGAATCATTCCTTCAGTACAATTTGTATTTTTTATAATATGTCTGTTGGTAATATAAAAAGGCAGAGAACACAAATAATCTGTGTAATATGGATAAGGAAATGCTTTACCTAGATGATGCTATTGCATATGTATTATTTTTGTGTGCGGGCAACACTTAGCTTTATGCACACGGCACGCGGCCGTATCGAATGGTTAGTGAATTTATTTAGTAGGCAACACTGCTTTAATTGTTCGAATTTTGTTCCAAAAAAACGATGTATTATGATTATGACTGTGATATTTTGTCAATTTTTTTTTAAATTAATAATTGTGTTTTTATTATTAACGGAGTTTTTAGCGTTAATTAAATGTTGTGAAAGGGTACGGTATTTTCATCTTAACCCCATATCCTTAAATATATGTTTGCACTTATTAATTGGAACTAATAAAATTTGACATTTCTCTTTCATTTCATCTTGTGAATAACAATATTAAACATTAAGTAACATGTGACTTAATATATTATAGATAAATAGACAAACTGTTAGTGAACATTGTATAGTAATATCCAGTAGTTATAATGGGGATGGGCCTAGTACAGTCGCAAATAAATGAACAAATTCAGTAATTTGAATGTGTAAGTATTGTACATACACAGCTTTAGGTGTTTAGGTGTGGTTTAAATATGTTGAAACACATATCAAACACGAGTTATATTTTTCAATGAATTATTCTTCAAAATACGACAAACATTCATGAAAATCAATTTTCCGCGGTCATTTCATTTTTATTTGCTAGTTTACATTCCTAATTACGTTGTAATGACAAGAGACAGCTGTCAGAATGAGCTCAAAATCAGAAAGAAGGTTGAGGAAAGCGAAGCAGTCTGTAATGCAGGATAAGCGGGTATAGCAGGGCGACAGTACTAGGCTATGCGTGTGTGGGGGAGGCAGGCAGTGGAGTGCGCGGGGGGTGACGTTGCGGTGGTGCGTAGGTGCACGAGCGGCAGCGGGCGCGGATGCGGACCCGCTCCGAGTGGTTCCTGCAACCCGCGGCGTCGCTGGACGCGGGCCGCTCGCGCGCCGGTACGCCGCCTGAGCCCCGCCTCTCGCCGCGACCCGCCCTGCCCCATGCCCCGCCCCGCGCCCCGCCCACCGCCTGCGCGGGGGAGGCGCGCGACGAGAGCACCGCCCTCTACCTGCTTGTGGCCTGCCTAGAGTTTTTGTTCTGAACGCCCCGGTACTGTGTCAGTGTTAACAGACTAACATCGCCCTGGCTTTGCTCTCCTACCGCTTACGGTGATAAGGTTACAATAGGGACTATCAAATGTAAGTACCTACCAAGAAATCAGTTCTGCTATGCAATGTCGTAACTCAGTATGAAATTTAAGGCATAGCACACACTGCGATTAACAAAATAAAACTGACGCAGTACTGTTGTATGTGCATGATCGGTGTCAACATGTGATAAGTGTCAAGATGTCATGATCGGTGTCAAAAAGTTATGATCGTTGTCAAAGTCATATTAACAAAAGTAAATGCATCGCGCCACGTGCTTTAGCACTATAAGTGGACATTTAAATCAATAAATATATGCGCAAAATGCACACATCAAGATTTAGTATCGCAAGACATATCATGGATTATTTTAATATTGAAAAAAAAAAATTATAACACGATTAATAATACACCATTCAAAGAGGCTAGTTTCACATACGTCACTTTGGCAGTTTAATAGAGGGAGAGAAAAGTCTTGCTTGTACTTACAGCACATTCATGGTACAGGGGCCGGCTTTGGCAGCAGCATGCATTGCACATCTCTCAACACGTTCACTGCTACCGGCTCGCATTGCAATATCACCTTGATTTTATATCAATGCTAGTTATTTGCTTGGGGAATCTTTATACAAATTAAATAAAACGTATGCGTATAAAAAGACAGTGGCAGTGAATGTTTTAACACATTCACTGCCACCTACTTCCCTCATGGTATAATGGTAGTGGCATTGAAGGTGTTAAATTTATCTTTTACAAATCTTCTGTAAAATTTTCTTTTTCTATCGGAAATGTAAATCTTTTTATTTGTCTTGTTATGTGCACATTAGCTTGTTGTTTATTTATTTCGTATATGTTATAAACGTCTAAATTAAAAACTTTACTTTTTTTACTAATTTACCTTTTTATTTTCAAATATATTGATATAGTTGTTAGTTTTTTATGTTAGATTTTTCAACATGATCTTTAGAAATAGATACATTTAATTTCTTAGGCAAATTGCGTTAGTATTCTGACGAAAAATATATGAAATTAGCTGTCGCCCGCGATTCCGTCCGCGCGGGATAGTAACCGATTCTCAGACCTACTGAATATGCATATAAAATGTCATAAAAATCGGTCAAGCCGTTTCTGAGTAGTATGGTAACTAATATTGTGACACGAGAATAATTGTTGTCAACAAGTTAAACGGTGAAAGTACTGACAAATATCTTTCTCTCTCTATTTCAAATGGACAGAGCGAGATGTCTATATGATTGTGCAAGTGAATTTCCTACTGGTAAAGGTCACACCATAGTTGAAATTTTATACGCATTTTCCGCCTCTTGTTATGTGTTATGCGTTTATGTAATTTTATGCTCATTTTTGTGTTTAAATATTAGCTCATAATATGTATGTTATTCATTATATAGTCATTTTAAATTAATGTCTGTTTGTTTATGAAAATTGTTCAATATTTCGCACTGTTTGTACACGGCTATTGATGTTGCAGTGATTCTCGTTTGACACGTATTGTCGTCTCTTATATTCTCTTTGGGAAAACAGTGACAACAAGATGTCATTTGTCACAGAAACTGACCTCTATGGATAGGCGATTGCTTGAAAATGATAAATTTGTTGACAGTGACAATTTATACGCGCCTGTTTGTTAGTTGACAGCTAAATCTATCTTTATTAGTTCGGATTTTCACTACCGCTATAAACCAATGCCATTAGCCCCAAAACGGCGAAAATCAAAATGGCACAAAATCGTATGTCTTATAGCCAGTCTGTTTATAGAGGTTAGTTAGGCATTATGAGACCAGAGTTTATGTTAGAAATGTTTGACCTTCGCTTGTAGTGTCATAGCATTTATTCATGTAAATGTTTTGTTGTTGTATGTGTGTTTTCGTGGATTTTTTTTAGTATTTTTGTATTAATTGATTGATGTGTCTGTGAGCTGATATATCGAAACTATATATTTGTTGATTTGTTTTACGGCAATTGTTCATTACAGTTGTTAGCTTTTTGCCGTTTAAGTTATATAGTTTCGATATTTCACTTTTATTGACGATTTTGAATGATTTTCTAACTCAACGATACTTTTTCTAAGATTATCCATTTAATCGTGGATTTCTGAGACCAATACCCTCGTTTAAAACATATTGTTGTATAGAAATTTTGATCTTAGAAATCCACGGTGAATCATTCAAAATCGTCACGGGCGTTATCTTGTATGAAGGAAAAGACACTACTTCACATTTCCTTTGTTAAAATAACGTCCGATATTGTATATGTGCAATATTTTTAGTTGGTATGTATATATGTAGGGTGCGCTGGGTGCGAGCGTCGCGGGTCGCGGCGGAGGTCGCGGCGCGCGCGGCTGTGCGCGGGCGGCGCCGCTTGCCGCTCGCTCGCACACTCCGACACTGAGGTCCCGCTCGCTCTCCAGCCTCGTAAAGTGACCGCATGACCGACCTGCATCAGTACACCCCGCACTACCCACCACATGCTCCGGTATCACACAGTTAAGCCTACAACACCCATCATCATCATCGTCATCATCAGATCAACATACGTCTCCACTAAGGGCCTAACCTAAGTTACAGGTGACTAGTTGTTACATGTTATAATTCGACGCAAGTGATATTTTAGCCCATTTAGCCCCACACTACTCAAATGATACGTCATAAGCTAAATCTGGCTTATCAAGTGTACTCACTTTGCGAAATTGTTACCCAATTAGCCCCAAGCTACTCATATGATACGTTAAAATGGCGCAATAAACCTGATACCATTTATTAATCTTGGGTTTCTGAGAACTAAATCTCTTAATAAAACACATCGTCATCCCTGTCATTAGCTTTTACAAAATAGAGATGACAATATGTTTAGATCGGGGATTACGGTCTGAAACTGACAGTACTTGTGGTACAGTTGCCCAATTTACCCCATAACACTCAATATACGATAGGTAAATGAAAATTGCCCAATATATTATACATGACTCATTGAATGTACACACTATGTTATCGTTGCCAAGGTTAGCCGCCATCACCCTTCGATCTTGATTTTATGATGGCTACAGATCGATATAACTGTAAGGGTTGTTATACACGAACTTCAAGCTGTCAAATTGTGGTCCGTGTATGGTAATCGTGAACTACAAATCACCCAATGCTGAACACTTGAACATCTCCGTGTATTACTGTCTTTTTTTTGGAAAATGAATATTTTTAGAATTATTTTTATTATTTTATAGTGATTTGTGTAATCCGTAAATATTTTTTTAGAAACTGGGTACACAAAAAAATGTTTTTTTGTATTAGAAGATGAAAATATAATTAAAAAACAAAGTGACAAGCAAAAAGTATTTAACCAAAATGCTCTCTATATTTTTTCCAGGCATGTTGACTATAAGGTTTAAATTTATCGTTCTTCCATAGTTTTAGAACTGTTTTACTTTTTTACCGAAGAAGTCTTTGTTCAAAAAAAAAGTGAGTGCCATTACTTTAAAAAATATAGTTCGTATCAATTTAATTTCAACTTGTAAATTTTTTTTCTTATGTTGGCAAGTGTCCAAAAAATATAATTTACTTTATTAATATAGTAACTAGTAGTTATCGTAACGGTTCTTATAAAACGGTGATTTAAAAAATTAGTGGTTTGAATAAAACCACTAGAATTAGGAGTGAGAGCTTCATCACACATTCCTGTAAATACATTAATATTATTAAATAATTGAGATATTTAGCATTTAGGATAAAATTATTGAATAAGAAATCAAAATTTTACATTCTAGCATGATGTTTTGACATTTAGTAAATTTATAATCGATTTATTAAAAAAAATTAAATAAAAAAAAACTAGTTCAAAACACAAGTCTTCTAAATAAAAGTTCCATTATTTTTTTTTCGCTTTTATGTCAAAATCATCATGCTATTATGATAATAGTAGTTATTTAAATAAATATATAAATCTTCAGATTTTCTGCATATTATATAATTTTGCATTTCTCTCTACCTCAATAACGATGAAGTAAGTTTACGCTCACTCAACTAGAGCCTTCAAAAGCAATATTTGGAAAAATTAAGAAAATTAACTTTTATTAAAAATAAAGACTGAATTTATGAATGCATTACGTGTGCACAAAATATGGAATTCCACTATTAAAATGGGGTTTAGGCAAAATGGGGAGAGGATTGACTTTATTTTGGACATTTAACCTCTTTGGGTGGTGTTTTTTTTTTTCAAGAAAAAGAAAAAATATAATTGGAATACTTGTAACTGGCTTAATTAAAAAAAAATGTAATTTCCAGTTTTTTTTAATCGTGAAAAAATGTTTAGGTACTATGACGTGTCATATTATTGTGCATACGAAATGACATTCATAATCCTTTTAGAATTTCATTGATCCGTATTATTTTAAATTATTAATAACAATAACGAATTATTAAAAATAAAAAGAAAAGCACACGAAAAAATATATTAATTTTTTTTTTAGGAAGATTTAACTTTTTTTTTTAACCAAGATTTTTTTGCAAGGACAAGAAATTGCTTTTCAAAAATTATTTATTGTAAAAAAGTCTGTTATTAAACGGTACAAAACATACGGAATCGAATTTACTCTTCCATTTTTTCTAAATACATGTTTATCTGGTATTTTTTTATCTATACGATTACTAGGTGCTAGGTGTTCGTGAAATCTCTTATGAATAATGTAATTTTAATTTATAATTTGACTTGGTATGTATATTTATAAAATGTCTGTACGGACGGACACTAGAACAATTTAATAGTATTATAATGTAAATAATTAGGATTTTAAGGTTATGTTTTTTTTTCATTGTTATGCACATCCGATCGCACATATAATGATATTTATTTAATTTTTAAGCATTTTAAGTTTGTTATAGCAGACCATATTTCAAATTAAAAAAAAAACAGGCAACTTTAAATTTCGTTCTGTGATTTTTTTAATTAATAATTAATTAAAAATTAGTCAATATTTTTGTCAATAAAAGTAGTTGAAATGATTTTAGGCCAAAATTTGTCCTAAAAATAGGTTCCTGACACTTTAAAGGGTTAATTTTTGTTTTAGATTTTAACAACTTCTCTGTTTACATGGTCTGCTATTTAGTTTTAGCAAGAGGCAGCTCAATATATTTTTGTTATAAAATATTCGTGGTTGTTGTGGCTTGTAGATAAAGCCATATAAGTTTAGTATTTTCTTGTAACTTAGAGATTTAGACATCGAGTCATAAATAGGTTAAATACTAAATTAGTCTTACAGTATTTCATTTCAATTGTCAAATAACGGGCAAAATTTGACAACTCGACAAATTCAAAATGGCGCTTTCATAATTTAGCAAGATTTACCTAATCGTAATTTATAAATGTCATGACACTGGAAGATATTGTTATCCTTTTCTTTCTTAAGAAAATGAGCGGGATGGCCATATTATTGTTTTGTAGTTAATGAAGATCGTATATTTTTACTCTATAGACAGTTTAAATGTCATTTGAATTTATTTATCTGTTAAAATAGGTGAAAATTGTAACGAATATAGAAGCATTTTTGGATGAATTCATCCTAACTATTGTGTTCATTGACTTAAGTATTATGTTAGGCAGAGTATTACGCGCTTGATGATGGCACATCGGATAGAAGAGTGCTCTTTGTTATGACGTGCCAATTCAAATGCCCGGTACGTAGTTTTAATTTAGGTCTTTATATTACCATCACAGTAGCATTGTTACTGAAGGAATATTAGTACAAGACATATTTTTTCCAGAAAGAATGAGAAATGAAAATATGTTTTGACGTAATTTTTTTAGGTATGTTAACGATTAACATACGAAGTTTGTAAATTCTATGGGGTTAGAATGTATTATTTAAAAAAAATCTTTGATCATTAATGAACTAAAAGGTTTTATTAGATTTTAACACTTTGGAATCGGTTTACTTTTATTTCTCCGTCAATTTTAATATTGTTAGGGGTGATTAAATTTTGACATTCTAACCTCAAAAATAGCGTTAGTAACAATGCAAATATTGTATTAATCCTGCACGATTTTTATAATTTTATATTCACGGCATACTATTAAAAAAAAATTACTATTAAATAAAGAAATTGTAAAAATATTAAGGCCTTGTAAATAATTTGTAAGACTGTTCGTATATTTTGTATTTTTTTTTGTATTTTGCTATCACTCGAATATTATTTCGTTATCATTCCACCGAAATGAGTAAACATCAGTTGCTTGAGTATTATTTTGTGAAATACAATTAGTTTTTTTTGGTCGTGTAAGAAATTTTCAAGAGCTTTAATGTATTTGTAGCTATAAAGTGCTTCGTATTATCAAAAATGACCGGCAAATAAATAAAAAGTATTCGTAAATTCTAAAATGTTTCTCGTAAAACGCTTAACTATATTAGTTTATTTCCCTTATTTTACAATATAACCTTATTTATCTCACAAAACACAAAATAATATAGAGAAATATCGTAATTGCCGCCATAAATCGAATTCGACTTTTGTTTGCAGTTTATTTAATTTACGCTTTCAATTAAATCATCCAATAAAATATGTTTTTATTAAAATGAAACACTGATATTTTTAAGTGTTTATATTCATTGAAAAATTAAATTTTTCTCACAGTAGAAATGGCGGTAATAAAAAGGAAGAGACAAACAATGTTGCCAGTGGGCAAAAATCTTCCAGGAAGTCGTCCAAAACCAATTTTAAATTTTTTTCTGTGTATTGAACAGAATGTATTATTTAATATTTGCCGGTCATCTTCTCTAAGGTATTTTTGTATTGTAAAAACTGGAGTTTTAAAGATTCATTATTTTAATTCCTTTAGTATTATATCGAAGTATTTCGCTTGTAAATTCAGTTTTCATTATCAATCGTATTTGCACATTTTTATATATGAATTGTAAAGAACTACACGAGAATAAATAAAAAAATAATAATTGATACATTGGCTTTTATTTAACTTTTTAATTGCTTTGTGTAAGAAAGAAGAGGTGATAAAAAAGATATATAAAAAAATAACAAAAAAAATCAACGAAAAATATATTTGGAATGTTTTAATCACATTTTTGTCAACCTTTTACTTTTCTTCCTTTAATATACACTTGTGTTATATTTCTATCGTCGCCCAAATATATGAAGCGTTGTAACAGCTGCGACACACGATCTTGTTCGTTTCCCTCCATTGTGTAGTCGTACTTATCAATTTGTCCGCCATTTGCAAATACGTCAATCACTTGAGCATCAAAATCTTTGCCGACTTCGAAATTACCGATTTTATCGTCCAGACGTAGAGCTATTACAAAAAAACAATTTTGAATCTATATTACAGTCAATTACAATGAAACCGATTAATACATCAAAGTGATATATCGGTTATAGTGACTGAAAACATAATTAAAGGCGGAACGTCATATTTCATATTATAGGATTTTTCTATTTGGCTGATCGGCCTACCGATCATCCCAACGGTCACAGAATCTGCACATAACTTAATTTTCACAACAAATAAGATAACATGAATATTTCAGTGTTGCCAACACTGACCTCAGTGATGCATTTAAGTCAGAATAAAGCAAAAGCTGTCATTTCCTACCCATTTATAGAAACCAATAGATGACCACTAAATTCATTGAAAAAGTGTTTTTTGTTTACCTTTAGCGCCCCCTAGCGTGGCGAGGTAGAATACTTCTTTCCAGTTGAGAGCAGGTCTCGTTACACTGGTCTCCAACATCTCCAGATGTGAGGAGACGTCCATGGCGCGTCGCATCGCATCCAGTATTGATGAACTATCACCACCGGACACGTCTAATTAATTAAACCAGATTTTCTCATAAAAGTAAATATAGTAACAAAATATAAATTAATACCATAGTAAATATTAAACAGAAAAAACAAAAAACTTTTGTATTGACTATCCGCTCGGAATTTAAAAAAAAACTTAATTAGTAGCATAAGTGTTCTTCCAGACTATGTTCTACATAGATGCCTAATTTTATCAAGATCTCTTTAGTCTTTGAATATACCTTCAAACAAACATCCATCCATCTGAACATTCGCATTTATAATATTAGAAGTAAGATGTATAGCATATTCTCACCGGTGCCCAGTCCGACAGTAAGACCTGCATGTATCAGTTCCCTGACGGGGCAGAGTCCTGAGCGCAGACGTGTGTTGGAGGCGGGGCAATGCGCCACAGACACGCCGCGCGACACCAGCAGTGACATCTCCTCCTCGGACAGGTACACTGCATGCGCCATAATACACTGACAAACTTCACATTAAGACACTTGGTCATTGAAAATTATTATATAAACAGAACAAACACGCACACTTACATACATACACACTCACACACATTTTTTCTGTAACTGTGTTCAACATGTATGCCAAATTTCATCAAAACCATTAAACCATTCCGGAGATTAAAAAAAACATTCTTCTATACATGTAAACTTTTGCATTTATAATATTAGTATGATATGTACCTTATCATTAAGTATATTACTTTTATCATATACTTCTGAATAACTCTTACAGCCAGGGTTGACATCCAATACATGTTCAATTTCTTTAACATTTTCTGATATATGGCTCTGGAAAGACAAAAAAAGAAAAAAAATTGCACAAAAATACATATTATATGTCCACAAATACATATATTACATAACATCCAACAGTATACAAAAATATTCAATCACAAAATCTTATATTTTGTAAATATTTTTTTTGTCATTGTGTTGAAACAGCGCCAAACAGATGTCTATAGTCTCTGCCTACTCCTCTGAGCATAAGTTACGTTGTTGTATTAAAAAAAAACATACCTGTATTCTACATCCATATCTATTAGCAATATCAGATAAACCACTCATTAATGTAGCATCACAGCTCACCGCAAATCTTGGTGTCACAACTGGATACACTAAATCATTCTAGAAAAAAAAACAATTTACATATAATACTAATAACTAATCAATAATATTGGATTTAAAATGATTATTCTACACAAAATATGCATAATGAATTTGCAGATGCAATAACAACGTGATACAATTAATTTTTTTTACAATTATTCTCTTCACTTGGGAGTTTTTATGTTTTGGAAATCAAAGTTCCAAAAAGTTGTGCTTAAAATAAACACTTAACATTGTTTTTGTGTTAGTAACATGATAATTGCCAAACTCACTCAGGACGGAATTGTTTTTACCTGATATGTAAGTTTTTTTCAGTCCCAACAACAAAACAATGTGTCAGCTGATTATAGTCATATCACTTCTTTGAGTGTCATAATGTTTTTTTTTGGTTTTTATTTGCGTTAACATACATGTATAGAAAATCCTTACTAACCTTACATCCCAATACTTTCTGTACAAAACATTCAACATCTCTCAATTCTTTAGCTGTATCATTATAATATCCCGCATCATTCACAATGTTCATGCTAACTTTGCCCACTAGCGCCCTCTGTCCATGTTTGATTGCACTGTCAACTAGTGCCAATGTCCCATCAAGATGGAGTGAGCCAAAGTAGCAGGCTGTTGTTGTACCATTATTAATTAACCTTTGCTAAAATATTTAGTAATTACACTTTTGTACAGTATTATAAAAAATTAAATGATTAAGGTTAAGGATATTGAATTTATTTTAATATTCAAGAGAGTTTAATACAAATCCTACTAATACATATGAATGTTTTGATGGTTAGATGGATGGATAGACGACTGTTTGTTTGAAGGTATCTCCGGAACAACTCAATGGATATCTCAAATATGCTTTAGATGTAGAACAAAGTCTGTAAGAACACATAGGCTACTTATTATGTTTTTTTTTAAATTGCAGGTGGAGGAATGGAGACATTTAGTTATATATAAATTAAGTCATTTGTGTAAAAGATAAAAAAAAATACTAACCACAACTTTTCTGTATATACTCTTTGCAAAGTTAACATCAACATATTTACTTTCCAAGGGGAATGTATATTTGTCTAGCCACTCAAGTAAAGGTCGGTCTAGACCTAGGCCAATATTAGGAAACTGAGGTGCATGGGTATGACAATCTATAAAACCAGGTATTAACAGTTGATTTTCATCAAGAACTACTTTTTTGAAGTCCAATAATTCTTTTGATGTGTTGTTTGTGTTTAATTCTTCAGTAGAACCTATTTTAGTTATCTGAAAAGGTATTTTGTGACAGTATTAGGCAAATATGAGGCAAAAATAATGGAATATTTGAAATATTAACAATTAGAACCAATTATCTGCATACAATGCTGGAGTACTATACCAATATTTATACAAGTTTGATTTATGAAAAATTGCCATGATGTTTATCTGTATTAAACGAAGTATAATCTTTATAATTAGCCGGTATTATTAATTTTATCCTGGCAGACTAGAGAAAACCTTTTTAGTTAGTCCATAAATACAAAATAATGATAATAAAAAAAGAAAAGTGAGAGAGATTAAAATTTAGAGCAATACCGTTCTATAATGTTCTACAAAACTAACCTTTCCATTCTCGATGGCTATAAAGCCTTTTAAAATAGTTAACCGGTCCAAAGCACTTGAAGAGGCGATGGTGCCCACAAAAACAACTTTTTGTTGAACAACAGACATTATGCCTGGTCGATATTAATAAACTTAATATTTAACTGAGTTAAAGTAACTTGTTGCTTGACAGTAATTATCGATAAGATAGGAAAATTATTAAGCAAAACGATACATAGTCATTTAAAGGTCAAGGTGACTTTATCGTTTTCAAAATACCTTTGTAAAATTGTAAACAACATTTAATGAGTTTTAATGAGTAAAATGTATCAGAAATACATTTATGCTTTTATCTGTAGATGTACTTATGACATATATTTATGTATACTTAAAATAAAGTTATTTCTAGGAATAAAATAAATACTTTTAAATGTAAACGATTTTTGAACTTTTAGGTGCTACATGTCAAATTGACGTTTATGGGAAATAGTATTGCCACCAAACATTTCAATTTCATCAAAACAGTAAAATGCCAACACAGCAAATGTCATATGTCAAACTATACTAGACGTGGTTCCAGTTTGGTTCCAGTTTTATTGGAACGAAAACATTCATTTTATATACCTCTGTTTTATGATTATTCTTAAAGTTTTCATAGACACGCTAGTTATAGCCATCTGATGAAATAAATTACCATTAATTCCAACAATTTCATACAATGTTTCAGCATTTGGGTTTATATAAATTGTATATCATTATAATATATAAAAGATTGACTGTTTGGCTAAGTATAGCAAAACTGATGGTTTCCAAATGGCAAACAGTGGATACAAATAAAATATTCTTATACTAACTTTTATTTGCTTTCAATTTACAGTGTTAAGACCGTGAAGTTGTTATTCTGTACATAATATGATGCCAAGATGTTCGTGCGTGTTCGCAACCTTCTCTCCAGTGCATAAAATTGCCAGTCCTTGCACTTTGAATCCAAAATCTCGAATTGGTCGTGGCTGCACGTATTAACTCTTCTTCCAAATAACTATTGATTCGTAGCGATTCTTCTAATGCCTGTAATATTTTAAATTGATTGTTTGGCCCAACTTAGTCTACCGTAAAACCGTACAAAAATGTAAGGAAAGAACACTGACGTGATTATAGGTTGACATTGCCGCATTCTGTCGACCAGATAAAAAAAACGAATTGCCTTTTAATAACATCCATCTTGGGTAAATGGCGCGCATCAGTTTTGCATCTTTTTCGAGTCTTGTCAATTCTCGTTCGGCGATAGATCGTAATTCCATGAGATCAACAACCTAAAAATATAATTTTACACAATTAAAACACCAAACAGAGTACTTTAAGATAAAGGTTCCAAAACTTGCCTTTCGCAGATCGTCCATTTTCCTCGCAAGACTTTCTAGCATGCCTTCTGCTAGTCTCAGAGCGCTTAATAACGTATTTAATGACCCATCATCTTCTTCGTAAGCGATCCAATTTAAAGCTTCTGCTTCGAATCGTTTCGCTTTACGATCAACATCTGCACGTAACCAGTATGTCCACAGACCAACAATCAGTCTACGCCGGCTAAGTCCAGCTGGCAATCCTTTACTTAACGCATGCTCGGCGTATCGACTGATCTCATTCGGTGTTTCTAACTGAAATCCCGCATCTAAAATGAGGTCAATACAAAGGGCGTAATACCACGTTTCCCATTCTGTAGTAGATTGTTTATGGCTGAATTGAAAGGACAATTTGAGTATGTCAATAGCTTCCTCTATGCGACGTCTCGAAAGTAAAATATAGAATAAATCAGGAATCATATCCAGTGATATACTGTCGGCGTGAAGAAATCGACTGATGACAAGGGATCTAAAACCTGAACGAATCGCTTCAGCGAGTTTTCCGCGTGCCAGTCTTCCACGAAACGATGCCATGAAGAACTTCCCAATTGCAAACATTTCTTCAGCCTGGATAGGCCGGGACAGATTCTTAAAAGTAAGAATTGCCATTCGCTCTATATCTTTCGTAAATTCTGCGTTTCCTCGAACCAGTTCCACTTGTATAGCGTTACTGAATGCGTCACACAAATCTATAATGTTACATTCTACTTTCTGCGTTAAATTTAAAGCACGAAGTGCAGATATTCTTGAAATATTTTCGTCACCTAAAGCGGAAAATAATAAAGTTATAACATTTAGGCAAAATATGGAATCTGATTTCAAAATCATACTATGTTTTAAGTATTTGCTGCGTTTGAATGGAGTTGCCGTTATTATGTTCCGAATATTGAAGAAATCTGACACTTTATCAAGGTTAAAACCGTAGATTTTAGTGGCTCGCTCTATATGTATTTTAGCAGCTGCTAATTTTCCACTCATTAGTAAGGCTGCAGCTCTAAGAGAATGTATTTTTCCTAGAAACCTTCGCTTGTCAAAATTAGTCATGTTTTCAACGTATTTTTCACAGCAGATATCTTCAGCTTCATCTAGCTTTGGATAAATACACTCAAAATTGTTCGCCAACAAATTAAAATAACTATAATTGATTAAAAATTCTATCATTTTCACTTTTAAGTCTGCCTCTCTAGCGTGATTTATTAGTTGTTCGTAAATAGTAATATTCAATTCTAGACAAGCACATTTCTCAAAACGGGTCTTTGATACACCTCTTTCTAGTTTGAGTTTAAAATATCCTTTACCATTTTCGTTGACATCATCACAGCTATCAACAACTCCTAAGTCGTGCCACTCATTTATCGTACTGGCTTCAGTAACCGCTCGTAACATATCGAATATCTTTGAATTATTCATTTCTGTAAAACTAATATCTTTAGAAAGTAAACTAGTCATTGTCACTCTTTTAATCGATCTTCGATTACCATCAAATATATCTGAGCGTTCATTTTTATTTTTCAAAATAGTTGATGGCTGTGTACTGTATTTATCAGCTTGTTTTAAACTTAAATTTGTGTTTTTATCGCTTAAAGTCGATTTAGGCTCTAAAGCCTGCCTGCTACTACTATCAGATTTTGTTCGTCTTATTTCTATAGCACTTCGATTATTTATTGAAGATACTTTCTGAGCTATATCTATGCTACTTACTTCTATTTCTTCGCCAATTTGAGGAAGACTTGTGTCACTGTCTCTTGCATGATCAATTTTATTACTAGATCTTCGAGTCTCATACGAATAGTTGGAAACATTCGTGACTGACTGAACGATCATAATAATTCCGCCACAATCAGGACACTTTTGTTTTGTCTTTTCTAAGTAACTTACGATGCGTGAGTGAAATTCTTTCTTTTGATTTATTGGCAAAAGTTCATAGCACGTCTTTCTTGAATTCTTATTTCGAAATTTCATAACTTTACAAAACGCATACTTTGGCAGATTTTCATATTCTTCCGGATCATAATCGAAAGAGCAATCGCAAGACAGGTTTGTGTTGACTGTAACACTGGTTACCGATGTTGCATTAGTAACTCTTCGATTTAGACGGTACCTTATATTTGCACATGTCAATATACGCATAGCAAATAATCTTTTTATCGCTTTTGCTGTGGTTAACGGGTTGTTTTCATACATAATATTTTCCAAAAGTGTTCTAGATAGTACGTTGCCTATTACGGAAGCAATTTTTAATAACAACTGTTGATATGGAGTTAAAGAATCTATTTGTACCATTATTATAGCGTCAACGTTTTGTTCGTTGATATCAGTATTAAGTTGTTCCTTTTTTGTAACAATGCACACTGCAATATCTTCGTTAGAATTATCAGCAATGAATTGGTCTAAAGCCTTTTGGTCATCTACACTTACTGCTTGGAGGCGTAGCAGCTCAGAGTCCGGAAATTGAAGATATTCGTTTTTTAAATCATCTAATTCGTGTTTATTTATTCTTTTAGTTTCTAAAGCGCCATTTGAAAATAAATTCACTATAAAACTTTCGACGAGACCTGGCAGACCCTTACATTTAGTTTTGAGTGTGTCGCACAAATCCTTTGGAACAGCTTCTACATCAAGTATTTGGCAAGCCAGTGCTGGTATCCATTGAGAAGTTAACGGTCCTAATACAATCTTTCTTATACTGTTGTTAATGAATACATTATATATCCAATTTTGTATACTATTGAACTTTCCACGCGTAATGGTTAGTACTGTGTAAATCTTAGGCGCGTCTAACATTATCGATATAAATTCCCAAGAAGAAGCATCTAGATTTTGCAGGTCGTCTAAAAATATAACATGAGGTTCAGGAAATGCTCTAATAAGATTCATAAAGATAGTTTTAGCTTTTTCCTTACGTACATTTTCATCTTGAGTGTAAATCCCCTCATGATAAGCGAAACGAACTTTTATAATATTGTTCAAGTAACATAAATCTGAATTATAAGAATTAAGCATCTGCACTATCTTTTCTTCTTTTGAAAAACCTGTAATGGGTTCTTTTAATCCTAACATTTCGTTAACGATTTGACCTAATGCTAAATATGGTGTCGCAGAGTGAATAGATGAAAGACTCAGATGGCATGTTCGTAGTCCTTTATTTTTAACATATCGCGTGAGCCATTCTAATAATCTAGTTTTTCCAGAGCAAAATTCTCCTATAAATAAGAGCGCATCAAAATCCCTAAACGATAAATGAGTATTATCGATCCAATTTTGAAAATATTCAAATTCATCATTGCGGTTTAAAAGTGGTGGTAGTACGGGTATATCGTATAATTCTTTCACTCTTATTTCTTCAGTGTATTCAAAAATCTTTCCAGGATGATTGATGCCTTTTAAATCAGCGGCCGGTTGAAGCGTAAACCCATTGCTAGACATTTTACTTTTCACAAACGTAGTTTCATCGCAAGTAATTTTGTTTCGAAAATAACACATAAATCTTGCTGCTTTATTTACAACTGCTCCAATTATAGTAAATTCTCTTCTCAGTGGGTGTCCGATTACTCCGCAGTATACCTGTCCAGTGGTGACACCGATCGACACTTCGAGAACTCCATCCAGAGCTGATAGTGATTTCTTAATTCCAGAGGCACATTTCAAGGCCGCCTGTGCTTCAGATTCATGTTTAAATCCCCGTAATCCAAATACTACAAGGATCATTATATCTTTGTCGAATAGAATGATTTTATTAACGCAGCCCATGGATTTGTATACAATTTCACATGTTATTTGATAAGAATTATTGACTATAGTTATCAGCTGTGGAAATGGACAATTACGAGGCTTAAGTGTAATGAAAAGTACGGATACGTGTCTCATTTCTGTTAAATATTCTAAAGGCTGATGGGCGTCAATTTGTGTAAGTACCGGTCTGATCATGAACTTTCTTATTTCCGAACCAATGTTTCTTTCCTCGGCGATTAAAATAGTTTTTCGTACATTCAATGCTTCATTTGCTTTTAGAGATTCCCAACCAATTTTTGTTTTTGTAACGTCTAATAAATTCTCCGGTAAATTTTCAATACCAATCAAAGGTTTTTTTATCTGTCTGAGCATACCACTGAAGCCTAAAAAGGGTTTTGTAACATCTTTCTCCCGAGGATCGTATAGAATTGATTTAATCGTCACGTGACCATCATCATGACTGACGTAATCGTAGTTTCTTGAATAACAATGTCCCCAAGCTGTCGGCGTTAATTTCACTTCCCCAGAAAGACAAAGACTTTCCGCTGTCTTCGCTTCAAGTACAGGTAGACCGAATATTATATAATTCATGTCTATACCTTTACCAATTGGAGCAAATAAAAGATTCCCAGCTGATATTGCCAATTTTACTTTCAAATTCACCTTAACGTCTGTTTCGTAGGAACCAAAAGAATGTTGAATTATTAAGGCACATGCTATGGCGGTGTGTATTGTGTGATTAAGGTATGATCTTTTGTCTGTCTTCCACAGTGCAAGGAACGCGTCACCTGCAAACTTTATGATATCACCACCGTGGCTGTATATCACCTCGATCAATGATCCCAAGTACGTATTCAAAGTAACTGTTAATCGATACGTCCCACCTTTACCAGAGTTTGTGTAACGTTCAGATAGAGCGGTGTATCCAGAAACATCGGCCATCAAAAGTACTCCAACAAATCGTTTGGGTTCACGTTTTTCATCAAAACTGAAATAAAAATATATTTAGGCATAGCAAGGTTAACAGGACACTGTTAGGAAAACTGTGTCTTTTTAGTACTTTATCATAAGTACAACTTGAGAATTCAAAATAAAAGTAAGTTAAATCTGAAGCAGCAAAAATGGGGATTCCTTATTTACCAAGAAATTATCAAGTTTAAAATTATGAACTTAAAAACAAACTTTTCCAATAGAAGTATTTCATCAGGCACCATGGTAGCAAGAATTAGAGTCTGTTTTCTTGATAGTCGTACTTCTACGTCTTGGTCTATCTGTTCTTCTGAAACGCTTTCGCGACCAAAAAACTCTTGCGTCAGATCACTAAGGTTAGCTGTCTTTGGGCTATCTTCGTCAGTTGAGTCCTCTTCAAGTAAATCGTTGTCGGCGTGTGAGATCCTTTTGGGAAAACTTCGCCATTTCTCTGTGTTTATCATAGCGTTAAGTGAGCTCCGTCTTGAACGAGTTCTTTGTCTGCGAAAGTTCATTGTGTAATTTACTTGAAATTTTGATATGTGCCATAAACATTACAATATATACTTTAAAATCTATATGGTTGTGCTAGTAAATAGATTAAATATATTGAATAATGATAGATAACGACACAAACATAATACTAATGTGCACTTTCTTGAAAAAAAACTTCTAAATATTTGGATGAATAAAACTAAAACATACAGAACTAGATTCTAATTAACACAATTATTCTTACGTATTATGTGTTATAGACATTAATTTGAATTATTAATACTCACAATATTATCAAATTTGGCAGATGGCAAAGGTGTATACTATCAATGTCATTTTGACAGCGTCATATTTTGACCAATGAGGGATTTTTTTTGTCATTTCCCATGTCTATGGTAGGTTTCATTTATTTTCTGACACCACTATCGCGATAGTACCGCCCCTCTCACCGGTTCAGATATTTTTATTCGACTAAATAGTTTTGCTGTTTGCTAATTATTCTAATTTAATAAGTCAATGTTACCATAAACAAATATGCAAATAGTCAATGAAATTTTACCATAAAATGCTTTATATGACATCACACTTTTTGTGAGTTAATTAACTTATCTTGATATTTAGTATTCTGGCTCTCCGTTCGATATTATTACATAAAGTCTTTGTTATGTTTATAATTAAATAAATGTTATTCTTATCTTATAGAGTCATTGACTTCAATATCATCGCATAAATATTTCATGGATAATTTAATGAGAAAATATTAACATGTAAACATACGCACACTTTACGTGCTGTCAATATTGGTTAATTATCGTACGTCATCAATAAATAGTGGGCTTGGTAGTTCATAAGCCGACAAGGTATTATGAACAGAAAAACAACTTATTATTTGAAGACGGAAAGATTGGATAATGGAAGAGCTATGCGTATGGTAGAAACATCTCACACGAGATGCACTATTTAACCAATTTATATTATTCTGGTAAGCAGAGACTATTTAGGTATAAATTAGGGCTGTGTATGGACACGGGGTGGTCCATGCTCTTTTTTTATATCATAGGGTGGCGAAGTGACCGTTGCCCATAGACATACGCAATTGCATATGCGTTGCCTACCTTTAATCGACGGAGGAGAGGATGCACAGAAAGAAAATATATTCCCTTTCCATTCATCCTCTCATCCGGAAAGTCCACTTCCACTTCCCATCCTTTCCTTATAATAAAAAAGATGGGAAGAGAAAGAGGACTAAATTAGGCCTCTGGGACGCACACTCATCAGACGAAACGCGGAATTGCTTCCACTTTACGTCTGTCTTCTGTGTGGTCGTGGTATTTCACCGGGCGAACCGGGCCATTGCTCTAATGATTTTTTTTTATAATCGAGGTAGTAAAGTTGAGTAATGTTTACCATGAATTTCCACTCTATATAAACATATTTGCATGTTTAGCTCTTTGAAACACATTTTTTAAAGGGGTATTACACATTTGCGAATGGATTTGTGTGGATTAAGTACCAGGAGGACATAAAAGGCGTTGGAGCGTATGATAGACCTAAATATGCACTCAATTAACGCTAGTGTTAAACCAGTTAACATATTACGGCGTGAAGGAATTTGAATTAAGCTTCAATTGTATGCAGTCTCTTGTTGTTCGTTGTCGACGTCACACGTGTTGTGGAGCTTAGAATGGATCATAAACATTCATTCTTTAATAATATTATCGATATAATTAAAGAAGAAACCGCTAGTGATGTACCCTTGATAGATTTTAAGCATCCGAAAGAATTGGAGGTATGTTTTAAAAATTATTAGACCACCTTTTCGCTTTAAAAAAAATTGAAGTTTATCTAATTCGTATGTTTTTAAAGAGAGGAGATATAAAGAATTCAGTAATAATTTAACAAATAATAATTTTTAAATTTTCTTTTTTAACTTACAGAATAATCACAATAACAATTTAAAAAAAAAACATCAACAAAACTTTTTAAAAATAAACAAACAAAAAAATAGCGTGTAAGATAGCTTGCTATTTTTTATATGACCCTAAACCTTAACACGATAGAAATAGGATTATTATAATTACAGTCATGACACATAGTCTGAGAAAAAAAAAACAAAAATGATTATTCGTTGAATTCTTTGTTATAAATATTAAATAGGTACTACGCGTCTAAAATGCCGTAAGACCCTATGAAATTTATATCCACGCACTCGCACTTATCTGGTAATATTGCCGAGTCTTGTACAGTTAGAATAATAAAGCTAACTTAATTTATTAGATAAATATTATATATAAAATTCTCATGTCACAATTTCGTTCCCATACTCCTACGAAACGGTTTGACCGATTCTCATGAAATGTTGTGAGCATATTGGGTAGGTCTGAGAATCGGCCAACAACTATTTTTTATCCCGCGCGGACGGAGTCGCGGGCGACAGCTAGTTTATAATATTTGTTTAAACTATTTTACGTACATCCATATCATATTGCATGTATAAATGCGGATGTATTTGTGTGTTTGTATGTCTAAAAATGGAATTATGACGTGCAGGTTACATTCTAAATATATATAATTGAATTAGTTTATATGTTTGTATGTAATATAACACATTACTAGCATGTACATAACCAATAAATAAATAATAAAAATAAACTTAATAGGGACATGGTTAGTTGGTAGCATGTTCTGTTCCGCATAAAATTAACTAAATATACGTTTATATTTTAGAAAATTCTAGATCTGGATGTAAGCAATGGCGTTGATGATATTGAATTGGAGCGATGTGTACGCCGAGTCCTTCACTACAGCGTCAAAACGAACAAGCATTCCTTCAAAAATCAGTTATACGGGGCTACTGACCCGTACGGCTTGTGCGGTGCCTGGATAGCTGAAGCGTTTAATACTAGCCAGTATGTATTTATGTTTATAACAATTATCTACCGGCACTAAGTTACGTAAACGTTCGTTTAATTTTCCTGACTGTAACTTGTATGGCGACTTTATGAATGTAGCTTATACCCATGTTTTAACTTGGATAAAAAAGAAAAAAATATGGAAAATCAATAAACGAATAGCCTATTACCATGTATGGACTATTCTGCGTCGATAGGTATAGTCTTATACTAATCCATTCAGTAGTTTTCCATTAATTGACGCACAAAGAAATAAATTTTAATTACAAATCTATAAAAGGACTTATTTAGAATGTAATTAATTCGAATATATAAATCTATAGATGGATTCATAAACAAAGAAGTTGTTAGTAATATTACTTTTTTTTTACCTTTCAGGTACACGTTCGAAGTAGCGCCAGCTTTTACTTTGGTCGAATTGAAGATGATCAGCCACATTCTACGTTTGTTCGGCATCCCCGATGGAGACGGTATCTTCAGCCCCGGCGGGTCTGTCTCCATGCTATACGCGCTCGTCGCTGCGAGGTACAAAGCCTTCCCGGAAGTCAAGACCAAAGGCGTGAGGAGTCTACCAGATCTAGTCGTTTTTACTTCTGAAGATGTAAGTATTGAATTAAGAATATCGTCGAAAGTCTACCATCAGGAAAGACCCATTTCATAACATTTCTATAGCGCGTTCTAAAACGCTAGTGATTCCATCTAGTTTACCTCAGACAAATTAATTACTTTCTCACGTTTCTGTTATTGCAATTTTACTATTTTACAGAGTCACTATTCGATAATGAAAGGCGCTCACTGGCTCGGATTCGGTACTGACAATATCATACAGATAGCGACCAATGATTTCGGACAAATGGACGTTGCACAGCTTGCCACTGGAATACAAAGGGAGAGAGACTTAGGAAGGTATCCTGTGATGGTAAACGCCACAGCTGGTACAACTGTGCTTGGAGCTATAGATGACCTGGATGCTGTGGCAGACGTGTGCCAAAAGCACGGCATATGGATGCACGTTGATGTATGTATCCCTTTAATTATTTTCAATAGAGACCTGCCCTAAAATCTCATATAGCGCTTTTCGCAACTTTAATTGATCGAAGCCACGTTGCAAAAGCTATTCGCCGTATAAAGAGCTAAAAGAGACGTAGATTTCATCTAGTAAACAGGACTTTTTCTACAGAAAACTTTTTCTAAAGAGTGTAATTATATTTTGTCCGTTACAATTTTCAGGCATGTTGGGGTGGCAGTTTGATGTTATCTCGCAAATATAAGCAAAGACTAAAAGGAATTCAAAGGTAGGCATCATTTTAAAAAGGTAAAAATTTAAGTAATAAATAGAATATTCTTCAAAAGCTATTTATTGTCTAACTATCGCTTTAATTTGTCATTTACTTTTGTAAGATTATATTTTAAATATTTCCAGAGCCAATTCAATATCTTGGAACCCTCATAAGATGGTGGGAGCTCCTTTGCAGTGCTCTGTATTCTTGATTCGAGAGCGTGGTCTGCTGCACGAAGCCAACTGCGCCTCCGCACAGTACCTCTTCCAGCAGGACAAGTTCTATGACATTAACTATGACACCGGTGATAAAGGGGTACAATGTGGTAGAAAGGTGAATTTTTTACAAGTTCTACGTAATTATATGCCAGGTTTTAACTGCTAATAGTTGTACAAAAACATAGAAATTTGTCTTTATCGTTTACAACTTCATAAAATGGCTTCCAATGCAAGTAGGGAATGTTTTATTTATTAAAAAATACATTAAATTAAGGTATTTATGTGTTCTAAGTATAGTTTGAAACACAATAGATCGTAAATCGTTATCGATAATGTTTTTATATTCTTGAATTGTATATCACCACGTGTATTATACGATTTTATTGTACTCCTATGTTTATAGCTATTTTACGTATTAGTTTAAATGATTTTAAACATGTAGTTTGGCTACATGAAAAAGTAATACAGACATTAAGAAGTAATTTTAGAAATTTCGAAGTATAAAATCTACTCTTGGCCTTATTTATGGTCGATTTTGATGATTGAAAGTGTCATTCGACTCGTATTCTTCCCCGGAGTGTAATCGAGTATTATAAGATTCAAACTTTATAGCGGCTCGTAGTCGCGGATGCTAAAATTGTGTTCTGTGCATCTCACGTGATATTCCGAGCCACCATAAAGATTAAATCGTACTATACAGTTAGTTGGGATTTTCAACCATAACCCTTTTCAGATCGATGCTTTCAAACTATGGACACTATGGAAGGCAAGAGGCGATGAAGGTCTGAATATACTCGCGGACCGCACAATGGAAGTAGCGGAGTTCTGTATAGAGACTGTTGCAGGCCGACCTGGCTTTAGATTGGTCTCCGCACCCCTGCAATGCCCTAACGTCTGCTTTTGGTATATCCCTAACTTTATGAGAGGTAAAACTGAGGATGCTGGATGGTGGGAGCTAATGCACAATGTAAGTTTTGTTACATTCTACTAATAAACTACGTATTTATGTGCTTGTATGTTAATTTTCCCATAAAGTATTGTCTTTGAATATAGTGCCATCTTTCGGCATAAAATACCAACCTTTTTGTTGACTGTCTAGACAAATATCTGATTAGGTTTGGTATCAAAATTTAAGGTAATAAAGTGTTGATGTATATGCTTTTTTTTGTTTTAGATAACAAAAAAAATCAAAGAACTATTAACTATAAGTTCTCGTCTAATGGTCGCCTACATGCCGCTACGACAGCATAAGAACTTCTTCAGATTGGCGTTTTCTTTCCATCCTGTGATAGAGGAGGCGGAAGTATTGGATATGCTGCAAGCTATAGAAGATTGTGGGGAAATGGTTGACCTTTCTATGTTGTAATATAGATATAAACTTAGCTAATATAAATTTGTAATTTAGCATAATGTCTATTTTCTTATCCAATGTATCCAAGCTTTGTTGAAATCGGTTCAATAGTTTCGGAGTCCATTGAATACAAACAAACAATCAAATCTATCCTCTTTATAATATAAGCATAGATTAAATCTACACTTAAAGTCTCTCTTAGTGATCAAGAGTCTGAATACAGCAGATACTGCATTAGTACACAACGTTCTCTGCAATCCATGGTAGGTAGTTGTCGACGCGAGTGTAGAGTCCGGGGTGGTTCGGCTCTCCACAGCGCACACCCCACGACACAACGCCCACCACGGCCCAGCGCCCGCTCGACATCTGGTACATCAGTGGCCCTCCGCTGTCACCCTGATCACACAGTTTAATGTTATTAATCATAACACCCACCTTACTTGTCACGGTAACCACGCGATATCCACGCGTGTATCACGGGTTAACCTAAATGGATATCGAATACATAGTTACAGTGTTAACCAAATTCTATGTTAGCTCGCAGTTTTGCAGAAGCTCAGAACACAGAGCGGCCATAAAGTTTGAATCGTATTATACTCTCATATTATAAAACAAAGATTCACAAAATATTTTATCATGCAGAACCGCGATTTCTTTGTCTTGAAACTGTAGGGTATTCTTTGGAGTCCTGAACCACTAGGAATCTCCGTCATGAAATAGATCGATAAAAACTGTGGAGAATAAGGATAAAGAGCAGTCTGATATTAAGTTGTGTTTACCTGACAAGAATCCTTGCCACCCTCTGGTCCGCCGGCGCACATGTTCTCTTCAAAGACAGTCGCAGTGAATGATTCCTGGCACTTGCTGTGCTCCCACACAGGTACCGACACCTCGAGTAATACGTCACTGTGCGGCCCACCGTAGAACTTTGTGCCCCACCCTACGTGCAGAAATTAACTATCGTACTCAGAGTTGGAATAAGTGTAGGTTTAGTGTGAGTGCTAACTGGACAAACTGTATCAATAACAGGAACTAGATATGTTTTTCTAATTTGTACGATCTTCTCTATATATAATGCGAAAGATCAGGTTGTTCCCGCAATGGAAACATAGTCTAAGAGCCATCGGTTCCTTTATATTACCGACTTACTAATCATAATAGAGACAAAATTCATATTAAACATATCACATAGTGAAAATATTGTTTAAGAGTAATTGGGTACTTACCGATGACAATAGCAATCTTATCAACCAAGTCAAGTCCCATTGGAGGCAGACAAATTGGCCAGACGTATGTGTTAAAGACAGCAGCACGGTGCAACTTCAAGATGGCGATGTCGTGGTGGTAGTTGGACATATCGTAGCCCTCGTGCTGTCTGATGTCTATCACACGGAAGTTGTAAGTCCGGGAATCATTGGTCCGCTTCAAATCGTATTCACCCAAACGTACAAACAAGTCTGAGGCTTTCCATCTGGAAAGTTCAGTATTCTATTTTCATGTTTAGTTTAGGATATCTTAAGCACTGAAAGATTTATTATCTTAGACGGTTTTTATGGAAGTACTAGCTGTCGACCGCGACTCCATCCGCAAGGAATTACAAAAAAACCTACTTAGGAATCTATGTGTTCTTCCAAGTTATGGTCTACATCTATGCCTAATTTTATCGAAATTCTTGCAGCCGTTCTGAAGAGACATTATGGACTGCCGAGACACACTCACCCTAATGACGGGCCCCTGATGGGCTCGAAACTAGTCGGTGCCGCCACCGGATGAATATACGTGAGTGTTTAGCCGTTTTTATATAAGTTTATTAACCTAAAGATGTTGTTCTTTAATATGGCAACTAACCTCCTGGTGCAGTGCGCAGCGGTGAGAACATGTCTGTCAGTGATGAGGACTCCCCCGCAGTACTGCTCGAAGCCCTCCGGTGTGACTGATGCCATCCAAGGCCAGTCTCGTGGGTTGCCTGGTCTTGCGCCAACAACACGGCTCATAGCACGCGTACTCATGCCGCATCCTACAGAATTACATGACATTTACCCCAATCAATTAAATAAAAGTAACGTATCTGTAAATGCGGATATCTATGGGATTGCTTCGCTATTTCGGCGAATTCAGTTGGCCGGCTCGTTTGCCACCATTTAATATAAAAAATGCTACGTATACTTTGAAGAGAAGCAGCCGAACTATTGATTGTAATGACGCTTGACATCGTGAACAATTCCCAACCGTCGGTTGTCAAAGGGTTACTGATTCTTTTAAAGGATCTTGTTTGTTGATGCGTTAATACAATTTCTACGCAAACTTAATACAATTTAATCGTAATTTTTAATCATTTACTTTTAAGTATTAAATAAGATTGAAAGTAATAGTAATTATTGTCTTTAATGCTGTTGCAAATTCTATTTTATTTAGATTGTCCTTTTTAATTATTATATATATTATAGATTTCTTATTTTCTGCAAATTCATAAAGGTTATAAGAATATGAAATGAAACAAAGACTCATGCTCAAATGTTTTAATACATTACACACCTCTGTTCTCTGCGCGCACTATCCTGGTTACAACTTGAGATTCGTCCCGGGATGCTGTAGCGGGCAGATCTCCGGCTAGTGCCTCTGGACCTGCGTTGAAGTCTTCAGGACAACACGCACCAAGAGAACTAGAAAATAGGAAATTAATAACTTTGTGTCTACAATTAAAAAATGTTCATCTTACATTACTAAATTGGGTTATTTACATTGAAATTAAATTATGAGTTTTTAATTCCTTATTAATTCCTAAACTTATCAGTGTTTTTTTTTTATTATTTTCCGGACCTGCGTCTCTAAAATAGTATGTCATTTTGTAGGCTGTAAATAAAACGAGGTACTGTTAGGAAGAAAATCCGACACTGTGCCGGTGTACTGGCGCAACACTAGCCTTACTAAAATGTCGACGTTTATGTCCCCTCACTAATCATTCTGACACTTGGCTTTGTAATAAAAGCGCGAGATTCGGAAGGATTCTAATGAATAATTTCTAAAAGTACATACGAGCGTTTAATAACACAGAGATAGTCCATGTATTTCATGAAGTCAGTCTTGAAGTCCTGCAGCATGCAGTGTTGTACGTGCCGGCAGCGGCCACGTTTGCCGTTTGGCAGGAAACATGGCTGATGGGCTATATTAGGCTGCGAGTTAAATAAATATAGAATTTGTTAACGATCTTAGTAATATCATAAATGCAAATGTTTGGATGGATGCATGTTTGTTATTGGACATCATCAGAACGGCTGTATGAATCTAGCTGAAATTTGGTATAAATTTAGAATATAGTCTGGAAGAACACATAGGCTACACAATTAAGTGTTTTTTTCGTTGCGCACGGACGGAGTCGCGGGCGACAGTTACTTACTAAAATTATAAATGCAAATGTTTGGATGGATGGATGTTTGTTAGAAGGTATCTCCAGAATGGCTGCATGGACTTCGCTGAAATTTGGCATAAACACATAGGCTGCTAATAAGTTTTTTTTTTTATTTCGCGCGGATGTTTGCTCTATGACACTCAGGGGAGTAATACTTATGCATTTTAACCTCACTTTTTATAATCAGTTCAGTAATTTAGACTACAGGCGGACACAATTTAACTAAGATTCAATATCAAAACATACATGAAACAAGAAACGTAAGAATTTCAATTAAGTAAAATATTATTTATGAAAAATAGCATTCATATCTTAATGTTTCAATGTTTTAATGGAGTGTTAGTGGTTATATTCTTGCACAAGATATTGCGGCGAGTGGAAAGATCAATCAAAGGCAAGTTGTGGGCGTCACAGTGGCGCCATCACTGCCAAACTAATGTACTCTTTGAATAAACTCTCTCTTATTGGAATTTTACTACGATATTTAAAGTTCTGTTGAAGTTGTTTGTTTTTTTATGGTTTAGTTTGATAGATTATTTAACGTTTAACCTAAAAATATCTCATGCATGCTCTCTCTGTAAGACATGATACCACTTTAAAAGACATTTGATAGTAAAATCCTTAGTTAAATTAGCACACACTGGAATATTATTTATTCCTCTGTCAGAGATCAACGAAGTTAAATTTGGATCAAAATAAAGACTTGTTACCTGTGTTGTATTCAGCTCAACAAATCTCTTGATTCTTCCATGGCCGATGTGCAGGCCGCCTGCCGCTATCACATCCTCCCATGACGCGTCCGTCAAGTAAGCTGACAATTAAATAACAAACAGTCTTTTCTTTACCATTTAATATAAAGGAAAGTTATTCTACTATCAGCTATTTCGTATTGCCTAGTTAGAAATTTAATTTAACAAGTTGCGTTTGAAATTCATCTATTTTAATTTGGTTGACATTTAAGTAACTTCCAATACAAATAAGATTTTTGTGACGACCAACTATAAAAAGGGATTTTAACACATAATTAGGCTATTCTAACTTCAAACAAAAGATTTATATATATTGGCAAATTATTTAGAAGTACCCATACGTGTTAGGAACAAATTATCACGAAAACTTTAGCTACATTTTAAATTAAAAATAATGAATTCACTTACATTGTAAATCTTTTCCATCAGTCCCCACAACAGCCAAATAAATTAGCACAACAAACAACATGACAGCACCACGACTGGTCTCTGAGCAGAACATTTTGCGACGAAATCATTTGGGCCGACGGAAGCTCCGATAAAAATGATACCTACTATATAATCCACAGGATGTTCCGATAGCAGGCAGAGATTCAATAGTTTTATTTAATTTAACAGTTTTAGGCGTTAGTATTGTGCGTGGGATGAATATTTTGTAATCGGTTACACGAACTTTTACTGAAAGCCAAAAATGGTATATCATGTTTAATACCAACTATATATTACATAACGAATATTATTTATACGACATCTAATTATTATTGTGAAATACGACTCAGATCATTCATTATCATTCATTATATTCCCGCGCAATTCTGCTATTACATTACATTTTTTTTACTTAACTAAATGTGCAACATTCTTAGTGGCCAATACCTGTGATCTTTACTTATAACCTCTTTGGCTACCAAAGAGGTCGAATACTTCAGAATTTACTTAACATTTTGATTGTAATTGTTTTTAAAACTAATTATATTGAATTGAATTTGCAATAATTCTACTTGTAACAATGATAATTACTCTTGTAATTTTGACAGAGTAGCATGGTGAAATCTAGACCTTGCATTGCATTCCTAACACTAATGCTGTGATCTAGTGTCCGTGTTAATGCTCGAATGTCCGAAGCATATAAATCGTTCGCCTAATAATAGTATTCTGGAATTAGAACCGACCTGCTGGTTACAAGGACGGCCCGGCTTCTATAAATAGTGATAAATATTTGTCCTTATCTCGCTCACGCAAAATTTATTGGCGCCGAAGGAAATTATACGCAATCACCTGTTTGTTGTGTCATATTGTGGTCAGTGATTCTCAAACTTGACGAGATTTCATTATATTCTTGCCACCAACTTCGACTTGGTCCCATCCACACCATCTCGATGGCAGGCAAATTCGCACAACCGTGCGAATTTCGCGAAAGTCTCTACTGCGCACAACTGCGTTGTGGAATGGCCTGTCAACACCTGTTTTTGCAAACGACTTAGCATCCCTCAAGAAGCGAGCGTATCACCATCTCAAAAGCCGACAACGCATCTGTCCTGTCTGTTCTTGTTGTATTGTAGATGTCCATGTACGTCGATGAACACCTCTGTGTTCCCATTGCTAGTTTGCCCACAAATCTTATAAAACATATATATATTATCGATTTAAAACAGTATTTAAACGGCTTGAGAATGATTCATATTTGTAATTTGCAACCTATTAAACGTTACGAAAGGAAAAGTCATTTTATTGTGTTTTTATACAAAACAATTCATTTATAAATCAGCAACTCTTAGTTTTTTTATGTCATAAGATGGCAAACGAGCGAGCGGCCACCTTAAATCGCTGAAATAGAGAAGAGACCGTTGCCCATAGACATACGCAATTGCATATGCGTTACCTACCTTTAATCGACGGAGGATAGGATACACAGAAACGAAACATTTCCATGCATCCTCTCATCCGGACAGTCCACCTCCACTTCCCATCCCTTCCTTATAAGAAAGAGGATTAAATTAGACCTCCGGGATTACTTTTATAATTACTTTGTTAACACGAATCATTATTTAGTAATAGTAATTCTCTGATTCACTCTCTTCTATCGATTATTAACTTTATTTTGATACAACGAACATATTGAATAGAGTTTGCAGAAAATATTCCCATAACAAACTCTTCGGTTGCAAGTACCAGTATCATATGATTCATGTCTGAATAGTTATTAGTTATGCAATATTCTAAAGTACAAATTATACTAATAATACAAATGTTTGAATGGAGGAATGTTTGTTAGGTTATCTGCAAAACGGTTCCTTGGCTCTCTCTGAAATTTGGCATAGATAACATAGCCGGGAAGAACACATAGACTACTAATTATATTTTTTTATTTCCGCGCAATTCAGGCGGCATCTAGTACATGATAAGTTTAACTGGAATAGATAGAGACAAAAAATATCCACAGTATGAAGTAAGTTATTGAGCAAAGGGAATAAACATAGGTCGTACTCATATTGCATGCACATTTAATTTCGTGAACCTTTAAGTTCACTTTCTAATTGTGCAACAATAAACTGTAAGGTAGTATTTATCTGTGCCGGAAAATGACGGAAAAGTAGTTCAAATGTATCGGCTATGCAAATACTTGGCTCGCTCGGATTGTGGCTGCACCGCAGCGGCAGCGCGCTGGCAGACGCATTATTGGGTCGCAATTAAAATACGAGTATTTAAGATGCTTACACACTAACATTCCTAAGAAATTGAAGAACGTATTAGATATTCGTTACATTTCAGTCGTAAAAAAAGGAAACGAAAAATAAGATGTGTGAGTAGAAACAAAGTAAATATATGTGAAAAGAAAGAAAAAGGATGACATTTGAAAGGAGATGAGTAAGGCCCTTAAAATACGCCGGGGGAAAATTAAAAATGTCAAGGACAAAATGCTTTTATCATCTTGGTTCATACACATGTTTAATAGAATTATAAATGTAAATGTAAAATTGTTCTGTGTTCATAATAATTGTAATTAAATTTTTAGAAGTCGCACTAAAACTGTTGTCGGTGTGTAAGGGCCCTAAACGGAATAGACAGTGTGGTTGGGCGCCGGCGCGGGCGGACCGGCTGACTTGCCTAATTACTGACCATTGCCCACTCCACGTTCAAGCACTGACTTTCAATTGTTTTTGCTATTTGCAAGCGAGTAATGACAACTACAGGTTATAGAGCTAGCTTATTTTGTGAGTTACAGCTGTTGAGCGCGTCTCCATCCGTGCTGAATTAAAAAAAAATAACAGCCTATTTGTTCTTCTAGACTGTATCTGTGCCAATTTTCAACAAGATCTGTTCATCCGTTACGGAGAAACCTGCAAAAAGTGAATCCATCCATCCTGTTTTTATTGGTTGCAGAAGATACCTTATAAACTTATTGGTTAGTTCTATTATTATGACAAGAAGAAACGATGTTTTTATACATAACAAGAGCACAATAATTTTTTTTAATTTTCTAACTTTACTAAAAACAATTTCGTACGCAATGAGCAATGTCTTTAATCTAAATAATTCAAAAGAAGTCATAACAAATATTCACAATAATCTAGAAAGTTTACTGTTGTGTTTTATTTTTATTACATTAACCATTTTTGGGGTGAAGGCGAATTACTTTTGAAAGTCCGCGCTTAAAAAAATTAACTTTTTATTAAAAAAAACAGTTTCAAAAATCACATCTAAATAAACGGCTACATAGATCCACAAATGTAAATTGTGTTTATATTTCAAAATTATAATAATTCTAAATAAAATAAAAAGTAATCTACTACAATTATAAGGTAAAGCAGTCTTTATCATTTTAATACAATTATGTTTTCTTTGCGACTCCATTTTTTTTTTATATCACAAGGTGGCAAACGAGCGAGCGGCCACCTGAAATCGCTAAAACAGCGAAGTGACCGTTGCCCATAGACATACGCAATTGCATATGCGTTGCCTACCTTTAATCGACGGAGGAGAGGATGCACAGAAAGAAAATATTTTCCCTTTCCATGCATCCTGTCATCCGGAAAGTCCACTTCCACTTCCCATCCTTTCCTTATAAGAAAAAGGGTGGGAAGGGAAAGAGGACTAATTTTGGCCATCCGCGTGTTTAATAAAAAAACTTAATTAGTGTAGCCTATGTGTTCTTTCAGACTATGTTCTATACGTATGCCAAATTTAATCGAGATCCGTTCAGCAGTTCTAGAAATGTCTTTAAACACCCATCCATCCATCCACATCACATCCATCTAAGCATTCGCATTTCAAGGCAGAAATTCGAAAAAAAATGAATAAATAGTATCCTATGTCCGTCTCCTGGCTCTAAGCTACCTCCTCATCAATTTTCAGCAATATCAGTAAAGCCGTTCTTGAGTTATAAATAGTGTAACTAACACGACTTTCTTTTATATATATTGTTTTGCGTGTTGTAAATATTTAATTTCAATGCCTCAATACGTGTACAATCGTTAGTAACGTACTAAAAGAAGTACTGATATTAATTAAACGAATATCAATTAATTATGCGACAAATAAAATGCAAATTAAAAGTAATACAAATTGCGCAAGTATTTGCGGTTAATTAATACATGTATGCTCTGCTCTACATACCGTTAATGTTGAGCATACTTTGCCTGCCAATTAAAATCCCTCGCTACATTTTATACCAATCCCTTTTATAAGCCTGCCAAGTACAACTTTGTAGTGATAGGCACTGTTAATATATTAGTTATCAAATTAAAAAATCAAAAAGCCTCAACTGTCATCAGCTTAAACCAGAATGCTTGTCTCCAAGACGTTCTGAGTTAGGGCATATGTTTTCATCAAACAAGTCGAACCATAAACTAAGACAGGGATGGCGAACTAATGGTACGCGTGCCAGCCTACGGCATAGTATTTTCGTCATGTCGCTGATCACCAAATCCATCATTTAATTCGAAAAAAATATAATAGTTAAAGTAGGAATCACTTGAAGCCAAAATTATTTAATAGCACGTTTAAGACATCATTAAACACTTCTTTAAATGTTTACGTCGGATAAATCGAAATACTATAATTGCATTTCTTCGGAGATATATGCATTTATGTACTGAGAATTACAGACTATGTATCAATAGAATATTCTAGTTTTTAGTGCTAAAATATGTTTTTCAATGTAAAAGTTGTATTATATTATATATGTAATAAGTTTCTATCTAGTGCCATCTATCATTTAACTTCGATCTGCGGCTAACGTAATCCCGGTCGACGCCTACGTGCTCCCTTCACTGCGAGTCTGTGAGCAATGCCGTTTGAAAGTGCAACTACGAATAACTAAGATATCATTTATATTTCGTCTATTTCAACATGACATTGTAGAATCATCTAGTTACTAAGTCAGGTTTGTTATAGTGCCGTAAATCTTACTAATATTATAAATGCGAATGTTTGGATGGATGTTTATTGGAAGGTATCACAAGAACGACTGCATGGATCTCGCTGAAATTTAACAAAGACGTAGAATCTGTATGGAAGAACACATAGGCTAATGTTTAA